GATCTGTAGACCCAGAGATGTACAGATCTGCAGAAATGTAGAGTATCTGTGGGGTCACTGTGAGAAACAAGTCACAAACCAAACATATACAGTACAGTATTAGCAAGAATGGATAAATGTGATTATGTTGGGGGAAAGATGGGTATAATTTAAAGGGCTTAACCAAAGAGAATCTGGAGTTCTTCATATTAGGTTCTGAGAGAAAGGTGATGTCCAATGATACCATTTTGTTAAGCCTGTTCAGAATTTTGTAGCAACATTTATTTGCCCTGCCCAGTGCATTAAAATAAATTGCATTCAAATATTGTTATATGACCTGTGTTAATCATACTAGATGGAGTACAGAAAACCCAACCCACAAGTCCTGCATGGACAGCAATCAAGACCGCCTCATGAAGCAAAGCTTGGTATTTAAATGCCAGTGTTATGTCCATGAAAATATAGGAACAGAACTTACCTTACTTTGAGGAAATTCAGTGGCACATCCCAACAGTCTCAGTTAACTTTAGGATCTTCTGTTGACTGTGGGAAAACTATTGCTCCATCTTAAGAAGTCACAGGGCCTGGCACCAGCTTCTTCAGGTTCCTTGAACCTAATAATTGAGGGGGCATTGAGAAAGCTCTACGTCATGTCCCAACAGGAATTGGAATTGGGATGGGATGGTCTCCCCACCACAAATTAAACAATTCACAGGAGTGGGAAGAAGCAGAAGGGACACACAGAATTGAAAAAAGTCCTCCCCCTCTTCCACCACCAGCATGTTCATTTCAGGTAACCACTTGAAATCTGCGATATTTGCCATTGTGATATTTAGGAATAATATAATAAGAACATGTAAACTCTTTTTAGGTAATTTGAAATTGAATTGTACATGCAATGACGTCATTAGAAGTACCAGTATTTGTAGTGTGAGAATTCTGCATTTCAGTATGCCATAACAATTTTACCTACTTAACAGGAATCTGTTTGATTTAAATACATATTATTATCCACTATTAGTGTACATAGTGCTTTACAAGGTAACATAAAGCAGAGTTGGGGGCACAGGGCCCTGTTCTGCAATGCATACAGTCTAAATTTTAGTTTTGAGGAAAACATAAAGAGAAGGGAAGAAGAGGAGAAAAGTTTGCAAGGGCACAAATATATACAGTACTGGTTCAGTTCCATGTCCTTATTCCTATTTTCATTCATGAGGTGAGAACTAACGATTCAGTCATCTCTTCACATGGAAGTGGATTTTGAGGAAAGATTCAAAAGAAGGAAAGAGGAGATGGCACTATTTGTGAGTTCTAGAAAGAGGGAGTTATAAGAGGAAACACTGAAATATGGAAAAGGAAGAAGGGTGGAGTCAATGGAGAAAGGGAAGAGTATACCATTGTACTGTCTCCACTACTCCAGACAGAGGTTGAATGAAAACAATCTTGCCTGTGATGTTCTTCACAAAAGTTGAGTTTTATGCATGGCTATCAGTCCCAGTCTAAAGACCTTTGTCTCTTGATTCTTCCCTACCCCAAACAGATACCTAAAGCCAGGCAAGCACATGACCTGCCTACGTGACTATCTCTGTACTTCCATGTTTATGTCTAATCCACTTCTCCTTAGTGTTAACAGCATGAAAGCAGGGAAGTAGAACAAGAGAGAGCAAGAGAGCAAAGGATTATAAATTGTGGCACCTCAAGGATTTAACAGATTTATTTTAGTATGAGCTTAAGTATGTCAAGGAAGACAACTATATTGCAATGAAGATTTTGCGTGTTTTAAATGGGGAAAAATCGCTTTGCGATGATCGGTACCCTGTTTCGCTTACCGATCATCGCAAAGCGATGATTTTTTAACAGCTGATCGGTGGTTCCAAAATGGCCGCCCGCTGTTTTCTGGAAAGGATTCCTCGCTTACCGGGGAGCGAAAATGGCCGCCGTATGGAGGATTTTCGTTTAAAGGTGAGTCTGAAGCCCATAGGAACGCATTGAAGGGGTTTCAATACATTCCTATAGGCTTTTTAATATTGCATAGTGACGAAATAGCTTTTCAGCAATTTTTGCTATACCGATTATCGTCACTATGCGAGGCACCACTGTATATGATATTACAATAAACTGGTTTATTAATATATATAGTATGTGAAGAAGCCTTGATATTTCTTTAAACTTTTGGAGATGTACTGGAGTTTGCTTGTGAAGCAGTGTGTCTCTGCAATCTCCTTTTGTAATTTCTTTTTTCTACAACAGTCACTTTGAGAGTCTTACTAGAGTGTTCTGGGAGGTTGAAGTGTTCTGAAACTGATTTCTCTGTACAGTGGTGCCTCACTTGATGACGATAATCCATTCCAGCAAAATCGCTGTAGAACGAAATCATCGTCAAGCGAAAGTAAAAAGCCCATTGAAATGCATTGAAAACCATTCAATGCGTTCCAATTGGCGAAATATCTCACCGTCCAGTGAAGATCCTCCATAAGGCGGCCATTTTCTGGTACCTATAAAGCGAGCAATCAGTCCTAAAACACAGCGGGGAGCCATTTTGCAACCTTCCGATCAGCCGTTTTAAAACCATTGTAATGCGAAGAAGCGGTTCCCAAAGCAGGGAACCAATTATCGTAAAGCGGATTTTCCCCATTTAAACATCGTTTTGTGATTGCAAAAACCTCATCGTTAAGCGGATTCATCATGGAGCGGGGTAATCGTTACGCGGGGCACCACTGTATTGCCATTCCCGATGTCATATTTGTATCCATCTATTGGTTGTCACAGAGTGTTCTGCATTCTATGTTTCACCAATGTATAATGCAGACAGGTACTGTTGGCAGAAGATGTTAGAAATCACTTTAGAGGATGAACAAGGTCCTGATGTTGTAATTGACATTATCAGAACTGTTGATGGTACTGTCAATGTAGATATGGGAACACAAGTGGTATCCAGGTTTCTGGCAAGATCTTATTCTTGTCTTCATCTCCATCTTTTGTTTCCTTTTGATTGGTTATTATCTGTAGGTAAATACAGACCAGCAACATGTATGTCTGAGGAGATGGATTTTGATCCACAAAAGCTCACACTGAAATACATCTGTTAATCTCCAAGTTGTCACAATGTTTGGTCCTCCTTTTACTGCCCCCCCCCTGTTATCAATATGGTGAGGTAGACTAACATGGCTAACTGTTGTAAACTTCTCAATCAAGTAAATTCACATGAATAATTATCTGAAATTCTTGAGTGATGGGGCAGAATTAAGAAAACATGTTATACGTAAGCTATCAAGGCTTCTTTTTCTCTTTCCAGAAAGAGTGATTGGCATTTCCATTCAACCATCTGCAATAAAATACAGTATAATACAGTATACATATGAGGGACGAATAAATAAATAAATAAATAAATAAATAAAATATAAAGGCATCTGTTTTTCAAAAGAAAGGCATTTGAATGTAGTTGGCAAAAATGATATGAACTGTGATAATAGATCAGTTTATTCTGCCTTGAAATATTGATTATGGATTATCATGTAGGTTCTTTAAATCTGTCTGAATAGCTCAGTAAGATAGGTATCTGGCTGTGGAGCCAGAGTTAGGGAGTTTGATTCCCCATTGTGCGCCTTAAGAGAATAGCCAGGCTGTATAGCCTTGGACAAGCTGCACAGCCCTAGAAGAAAAGAGTGATAAATCATTTCTGAGTGTACTTCAAAACTCTGGAAAATGGCCACCAGAAGATAGAATTGACTTGACAGCATGTAATTATTATCAGATTTTTTGGTCTATGGGAAATATCACAATTTATGTATTTTAAGATCATCATATCATCATAAAACTGGAGAGCTGGAATGGACTTTATAAATAATCAAGTCCAGGCCCTGTCAAGGAATCACAGTGAGGAATCAAACTCCCAGCCTCTTAAACCACTGAGCTATGCAGCAATTTTGCCTTAGAATTAAACTTTATTGCGATTTCATAGTTGCTGTTTTGAGCAGCTTTGGATTTCCTTTTCACATATTTATGAAAAGTTCTGAACTTGTTTTCTATTGTCAGGAGCCACATTTGCTGCCCTAGCCTTCTTTAAATGGAGGGGTGGGGGTGGAGATGAAGCAGTAAAGCTATGGCTCCGAAAGAACAAGAATTAGGTGGACTCTGTCTTAGAAAAAGGAGCTGTATGTATCATTCAGTGTTTACAGTATCTGCGACAAACAGACAGATATGCCATCTTCATCCTTTAACTCCTTTTGAAAACAAAATCACAAGTATTTAACTAGTAAGCCTAATAAGATCATTATAACTACTAATCCTGTAGTTATAAAACACTGGCCAAATGCAGTAAGTGAAGAGGCAGGATTGCAAGCCACTGTATTTATTCTACATATTAAGGTACACTGACATGTAGGGTGACTCTCTCCATTAAGTTCCCCGTTAATAGAGTCTGCAGCACTAGCTAAAATCTCCCTCGCTCCTTCCAGTATGTCCCAGATTTTAACCTGACTTGAAACTAAACAGATCTGAAATATAGCACAGACAATAAACTATAAAAATAAAAATATCACAGCAATTCAAAAAAGGAATGTCCATGTTTATCCAGATTTTACCTGAGGCAAATGACTGCAGTTCTCAGACTTGTACAGCTAGTTGCCCTCCTGCAGAAATACTCAAGGATGTACAGTATTATATTTCAGATTTATATGAGATATTTACAGGTAGATGTGATCGCTGACATGGTCATATCAGCCGACAGAACTCCAGATTTCAAGAGTTCGCCACCAACCCACCCCATTTTTTGCTTATGGTCATATATTTCAGCATTTTGCAGTCACTGTTGACTCTGTGGTTGTATCTATTGTGTGGTTGTATCTATTGTGCTTATTTATAGAAAGTAACCTTTGCCTACTTGCCAAGTTACTATCGAGAAATCCACAAAGGTCACGGTATTGTTTTACACTTCATTTGGGTTGTAGTTTGGTTACTTTGGCATTTGAATGCTAAATGAATTTGCCTCTTGCCTGTCTCTGTCTGCTTCTGTATTGCAGAACCTTCGACCTCAGGAAAGTCGAGCCATGTTTAGCGGTTCTGTCAGTATCCCATCAATCACGAAATCCCGCACAGAACCAGGACGCTCCATGAGTGCTAGCAGTGGTTTAGCATCAAGTAAGTGGTTGGACCTCTGTCTTATGACAGGTAACTTTCCTCTCTACTGAAAGTGGTGGAGGTACCATCTGCCATTGTGGTGGGCTTCATGTCTTCGATAGGCCTATTTTCTTATTTGAAAAAGAAGCTGCTGGGAAACTGCAGTGTGACTCCCAGAAAGGAGACGTGTAGAGTTTACAGTCCAAAAAATCCAAAATGCATGCCCCTAATGTGTACTAGGATGGAAGAGAAATAGGGAAAACCAGGTATAGCATCCTGCAGTGCTATGGAAATCTAGAAAATGTGACTGAAGGAAATCATAAAGAGCCTTGGGTATGTGGCAGTAAAATGGAAGTCTTTTTCATGGAGAAACAAGACTTTTGAGAAACTGGAAGACAAACTATGACACAACACTACAGTACCTGCATCTTTTTCCTGGAGCTGATACAACACTGCGCCCCCCCACTTCGTATTAACTATAGAACATACAAGAGCTGTATTATAAGTGTCTACAGTAGAGCGAACATGTATCTACAATGAATGTTCCAAAATGCAGCATTTGGAAGTCCGGGGAAAGTGCTGAGCAAAATTTCTCAAAATCTTTTTTGAATGTTTGCTTCCCCAGAACAGAGGCCAAGAACAAACAACACTAAGTAGAGGAAGCTAGATGGCAAGGAAAGCCAAATGGTAGCCAGTCTGCCCAAATAGTTGCTGTTCTTGCCACTGCTAGTAGCAGTGCAAAAAAGAAATTATTTGGGGGGAGGAAAAAAAATAAATTTGTGCTACAGGTGTTGCTAATTGTGAACCCTGCTTCTGAGAAAGGGTTGGAGAATTCCTTCTTCCCTTGGAGAAATTTGGTGAAATAATCCCCTACGCCCTTTCTTTCTCACAAGTAGGAAGGAGAATTTTTAGACTGTTACCATGCAGAAAAATTCTAAGAATCTGTCTATTTGTGACTGAAGCTGAGTTGTTGAGATAACTGTTAAGTCTCAGGAGCAAAGTGCAGTCTGTCCAAGAATTACTGGAGACAAAAATCTGTCCTCTTTGCCGAGAATATAGTTAATCTAAGAAATGCAATTCTCTTATACTATTCATTTTATGCATTTATGAATGGACTAGCAACTATAGGCAATGTTACTTTTTATTTGGCTCAAGTTACTTCAACACCAGCTTGTTTTAGGCCTTACATTTGAAACTTCCCATTGTTATGCTTGTGATGGCAAAGCACCCCATAGCACAAAAATCCAGCACTGACAGGAAGGTTCGTTTCTTGAATCAAAAGCCAAAAACGAAAATTATGCCAGTGGATGCCTATGACAAGAGTACTTTTCGTGGCAGATCCTGACATCCTGAAATCTGCTCTGGAAGATTTCATTACCCTTGTTGTTGTTTAGTCGTTTAGTCGTGTCCAACTCTTCGTGACCCCATGGACCAGAGCACGCCAGGCCCTCCTGTGTTCCACTGTTGGGTTAAAATCATTACCCTACAGAGCACCTTTTGAAAGTCTATAGAGGGTTGCAAAGGGAAAATGGAATTTTCCTGTCCTGGTTCTGCTCATGGAAGCAGCTCCATCAGTGGAATGGTCCTATTGAGTTCCATCCTGTGGGAGAATTAAATTTAGAAAATTCAGATTGTTTTTACATTTTTTTAGGATCCAATTAGAAGAAACACAGGTGAAACACCAACAAAACTAGTACTGAACATGAAGTAGGACTGAGCAGATATTTAAACCCAACAACAAAGCCCATGCTTCTTCAGAACACAGAGCTCTTGTTCAAAGGACCAAGATTCACATTATGTTCAATGAATGATTACATATAACATGTCTCTGAAATTAGCAGCCAATATCCAAAAGGAAAGTCTAATGAAAATAGCACACTCCCTGCAGCTTTCTGTGCCTTCATGTATGTTGCTTTACTAAATCCTTGGGTGGCTTTCTAGGGTCATCTGCGCAAAACGGCAGTGCTTTGCGGAGGGAATTCTCAGGCAGTAGCTATGGAGCAAAGCGTCAGCCGATGGCATCCCCTTCCGATGGCTCCTTGTCCTCTGGCGGTTTGGACCAAGGCAGTGATGCCCCAGCGAGGGACTATGAGCGAGAGGTGTGTATAATGTAGGGGAAAAGTAGAAAAACTGTTAGGATTCCCCATTCCACACTAAGCAGTGTTAGAATGACTCTGAGATAGACTGGCCAAAGTCCTACATTGGTCAGAGTTCTCAGGAAGAAGATCCACAAGTGCTACTAAAGAAGGAGCACTTTCTGACTGAAATATAATTGAAAATTTACAAAAAAGATTGTGTGTGACATGGAAAGTAAGTTTTTTGTAGTAGTTTTTAGTGGTACTTGCAGATTTCCTTCGTTTGATATGTCAACAAAGGTTAAGTTATAGTGGTGCATTCAAGTGCCTTTGCATATCGCATGTAAGAGTTAACTAAACATACAGGGCATATACTTTGTAATATAAGCATATTCCAAATATAGAGTTTGAGTTTGCATCAGTTTGTACAATTTGGCAGTTGCTGGATTAGTTGTATGAAAGACTGGACATGAACATGGTGCAAAGCTAAGCAGAGGGGAAGCTTCCATTGCTGTAGCACTAAGTTGGTATTTCCTGCTGACTCTATAAAGACTTACCGGGGGGGGGGAACGTATTAAAACATCCTCCTTCAAGTGGTTGCCTTCTAGATGTTTTGGACTGCAACTCTCATCTCCCCCAATATGATAGCAGGGGGTGCAGGATATTGTAGCCCAGCACATTTGGAGAACCAACCGTTATGAATGGTTGACCTAAGACACAGGATTAATTCGCACAGTGAAAAGCAAGTTCCCATGGCATGTGTATGATGTGAACTGAATTCTCTATGGCTGCAACACCCATTCAGCAAGAATTGAGGATGGAAAATAATTTGAAAAAATATCTCACAGAAGTTGCCTACAAGATACAGTTGCATGTGTACAGGCTTTTGTTCATTCAAAATGCTCTCCTGCTGTTTTTTTTAAGCAACATTCTTGTCAAGGTTTACTGCAACTTAAAACAGATAGTGCCCTAGTGTCAAGTGTTAGTATCAGAACAAGTGTTCCTTAGAGACGTGTCATGTTCAAAACTTCTGATGCTTCATCAGCAGTTCGTGCAACAAAGAAATGAACACAAAGACATTTTAAGCCTGCTGAAAACGGCAACCAAGATACCATCATCATAAGTTCATAAACACACACATTTGTATTTGGCAGATTGTCGTCTAGAATTGTCTAGACGTGTAGAACATATTCTATACTATTGCATCGGTGGGGGCAGGGCACAGAACTAAACTGTCAGTCAACCATAAAGGGTGCACTTATGTAGCTTGATAGAGTTCTGGTGTTGTACTGGGAATTTTTTTCATTCCAGAGAATAGTATGCTAGTATCAAGAACATCCTCTTGATAGAAGGTGTTATTCATTCCCCTGTTCTCTGTTTCTGGGAGAGGTGGGAAAGGGGGGGGGTCCAGCGTGTTCTTTTCCTCTCAGTCTGGGTGTCTGCTCCCTTCCCGTCCTCCCCTGCCCCAATTTGGTCTTCTGCTTTGGCTCTCTGATGTCTTCTCTTGCTTTTCTTTTCTTTTTTTGGGCTACAGGACTCAGACTCTCCAAGGCATTCAACAGCTTCGAACAGCTCCAACCTGAGCAGCCCTCCCAGCCCCATCTCTCCTCACAAGACCAAGAGCCTCTCTCTGGAGAGCTCTGACCACGTGAGTTGGGACACATGAACTGCTTCAGCATTCAGATCTGACATCTCAGCAGCTTACGGTCCCCCTGATTCTCCATTGTCTCCTCACCCCTCTGCTTCTCTCCAGAAACAAACTGTGGGAGGGAGGGAGGAAAAGAACCTATTTGCCTTCTCTGGCACAAGCAGCGAACGGTCACCACTCCCCCCACTTCTCATTTCATAGTAACAGCAAGCAAGAGATAACCATGGGGGATGGTGGTGGGGTGGCGTACAGGAAATATCAGTATATTTGTATTTTATTTCATAGGATAACAGCTGTTTATATTATTATGGGCCTATTCCACACCACACCACCACTCCAGACAAAAGACGATAATGTAGACTGACCAAAACACAACCTGTAAGAGAAAACGAGATAGATTTTGCTTTCACACACACACACACACACATACAGAAACACTCCTCATATTCTATTTTTTCAAGATTAGCACAGCAACACCCCCCTTCTGTCTCTGGTGATGGGGCACAGTCTGCCCTGCAGGGGCAGAGGCACATGCTTTCAGCCAGCCACTCTGTTTGAATGTCAATATGATGGTTGCCAGCAAATCCATACTGATTTTTTAAAAAATGATGCATATTTTACTAAAGTACAGAGTTTAAGTAAATACACAAAATTAAGAGTTAGTACGTATGTATATAATAAAAGAAGCAGCAGAAGATGGATTCCTATTTAAGAGATCCTTTAATTTAAAAATACTTGTATTGTTCCCTTTATCATTGTAAGTAATCTATGGATTGAGGGTGTGATCTGGATATAGAACATGGGATAGATAAAAACAGAGCCTGGAGGAAGACTTCATCCTCACAAAGCGCTCTGTAATAGTCCTTCTTAGCAGTAGAACTAAAGCCATAGTCCTCATTTATAAGCTGCCTCTGCCTTTAGTCTGCAGTGTATTTCACTCTACAAGAAAAACCCAAGATTTAGCCATTTGTAAGTGTGAGGTGGGCTCAAGGACAGAGCCATTATGTAGCCCTGAGCAACAGCGGAGTAAGGCCAACTAAATTCAGCACAAATACATGAGAAATTTTAAAAGAATTGGTGGAGCTGGAGTTTAAGAACAACCTGACCATTTCATAACCAGTCTTTCTTGTGTGCAGCATCTATTCATATGAGATTATCTGCATCAAGCAAATGCAAACCATGTTAGGTGTGAAATAGCTTCTTTCTCTTGCACATTTAAACCTAAAGATCTGCTATTGACAATTATACATTGCTGAAACACTAGAAGATTTATGGTCTGAAGATTTTTGCTGCTGTCATCTCCCCATCCCAAATGGCCTGGTGCTTAACGTTATTGTTTTAAAATATTGTGGTGGTCGGAACCCAGCAAAGCCGTTGGCAGGGCAAAACATTTATCTCTGCAGAGTACACAGCAGAAACACATTGTCACCTAAATAAGTTCTATAAAATTCAAACTCTAGATATAGGGTGAGAACAAAAGTCAACTTTTTCCTATCCCTTTCTTCTTGAGCAACTTAAGTATAATTGCATTCTCAAACAAAATTAGTATTTTTTCTCCTTCTAATTACTTCTACTTTTATACCAGTGTCAGGCCCAGGTAAATGAAGAATTTGTATGGTAGTGTTTTTTTTTCAATGTATAGTATAATATCCTGGAACTTCATGGCTAACATCCAGTCTTTCTAGTCACTTCTGATCAGCAGTTAAAGCAACAGATGTGCAAATACTGTAATGGGAGTTTTTCAAGTTCTTTCTGAAAATTGCTGCAATCATGGAAGGAAGGGTGCAAGCTAAATAGTGCTATAAGATGCATTTAGTCATCTAGTTCTTTTGAGTCTGCTAGTTGTTGGTTCCATGTGTTTTGCTGCATTCAGTAGATTGCCACATGCAGAGCTTCCATTTGGCTGTTTACACTGATGGAAGAGACTGGGGCAGTGGGGAGGCGTAAAGCTTTCTTATTAAATATGGTGGCCTAATCCAGTCTGTTGAACTTGGCTCATCAATAATTTCACAATTTGTATGTGTAAAAACAAGAGAGATCTAAAACTTTGCCTTTCATAGCAGCCATTTATTCATGTCAACTTCCCCATGAAGAAGCCTTTTGGAAACGGTCAGGGCATGGCATGGGCATCTTTCAAAATCCTTTGGCATCTTTTCCTTACATTTGCTACACATAGGTTCTGTTGCAATCCTCTTCCTTGTGATACCTCTTTATGCCTAGCCACTGTTTGGTACCTTTATAGAGTTTAGCATTAGAATGTCTCCTTGTTCTGTTTCAGGTATGATCTTGCTTAAAGATTATCATATTAAAAAGGCATTAAGATTTCCAGGCCTGAATGATACAGGTGGTCTGAATAATCTTCTTCTTCAGGTATTATCTCAAAGTCTCCAGCAATTCCTGTGACCATTGGTTCTGAGCATGAAACCTGTATTCTTAGCAAAATGCAGCTGTAGATACAAGATGCGATTACAAAAAAAATTACACTGAGGGTTACATTTGTGTGTATTATTGGGCCATTTCGCAAAATCACTGTCCTTTGTTAGGATATCGTCATCCTTGGGCACAGTTGTATAGTATAAACCTTTCCAGCTATGCCTAATACATGCTCTTCTATATGCTCTCATCTCTGATGACATTGAGATATCTTGCTCTACTTTTGCTGAATTTCCATTCGTATGGTGACATTTCTGCAAGCACTTTGGTAATCTTGAACTATCCTGACTAATTTGTTAGCATCTCTTGTGTTCGCAGTTTGAGGCTGTGCTTTCACTACATAAGATGCTTTGGGTTGATTCAGCCATCTCACTTATTGCTTCATTATTCTTGAGGCCCAATAAATCAGGTTTTGATTGTAAAATAACCTTGATATTACAACTGTTGCATCAGGCTCCACTGCATATATATTTTTTCTATTGAACATTCAAAATCTGAGCATATCATTCATGTTTCTTTTCAAAACACATTCCTGTTATAGTATTACTTTGTATTCTTCTGAGTCAGTCTCTCATTAGTTGGCTTCTTTTAAGGGTTAATTTGTGTGTTGGTTGTTTTGTGTTTCTAACTTGCATTTTTTTTTAGAACAAGATGCTTGGGTTTGGGGAAAATACAGTTGACATTTGTGTTAAACACTCAGGTATTTGAAAGCAGCAGGATGTCTTCATATGATAAACATGAAATGCAATAATGTATTTTGGGGCATGAGGTTCATCACAGACACATCTATGAAACAAACAAATCTTTTCTTCTGTAATAGTGAAGATATGGATGATAGATTGAGTTTAGGATGGTGGTTTGAAGTTTTGAATGTGGAAAAACATTAGTGTCTTTTGAGACCATGAATTTTTAAACAAAACACCTAACTGCAGTACCTCAGTTTCTTCTTCTGGTGTCTTGTTAAATCAGAGGAAAAACTGGGAACCCCAGAGCTGGCTTGTTGGCATTTTATTAGCCTTAGGAAATTTCACTATGGTGTGAAAATTACCTCTGTACAACCTGGGTTCCATATATGGATGCCCTGCTTGGAGACCTCAGGAAGTGCATAAGCCTTGGGGAAAATGTTACTCCAAGTGCAATAAGGTTTTGTGCCTAGAAACTAATAAAGGCACTATTAGCCTGTTTCATTCCAAAAGTTCATCAAACTTTTCCTGGAATATCAAGCTGGGCTTCTAACTCCTAGTCTACAAGGGGGCCTTCAGAAATCAGATATGCTGTAGATTTTCAACCTTTAAGACCATGTTGTGCATTATGGCAATTTCACACTACGTGTCACCTTTTTTTTTTAATGAAAATTCTCCCATTGGGCATAAAAACTTCTTTCATTCATAAGGAAGCAATTCACAACCAAAAAGCAGTATTGGTATTTCACAGCAATTATACCTGCTTTTTTATGTATGATGGTTTCATAACATTTATTTTTTAAAAAGATATTTTTAGGGATTTTTTGCATTGTAATATTATTGTACAGTTTTGCATGGCCTAGATGTAATCACTTTTTTGTTTTGTTTTAGAGTATAAAAGCTGACAAGTGTGCGTGTGGGAAAAGATTCTGCTTTTTGCTTCTTCTCACTCTTGTTTTGATTTTATGCCCTCACTGTTGTAGAGGACATTGTAAGAGATTCTCTGCTCCAGAACAATGATGTAGATTCTATTGCACAGAAATATTTAAGGTGGATCAGTCAGTGATGTAATAAATGACGGGCCACCAATATTTTATGTTGGTAACACTTAATATTAACCTTACTTTGATGTATTGCAATAAAACAGGGAACTATTAGAAATACAGATGGTTTGTCTTTTTTCCCCTTCCCATCAGATTATTCTTCAATGGGTAAGTGGGCTGGGGGGAAATGATGAAGTAACAGTTTAAAATGAGTCCTTAAAAGCTGTAGTCTTTGCTTTAGATGTGTTGGCATAGAACACTTTGGAAGACTAAACGTGTTCTCTTGCTATATTTAGTCACCTCAAGGCCACAAGGCTTCCCAGTCAACAATGCAGTAAGGGGGGATATGTGGACAGCAGAGAGGGGAGAAAATGGATGTCGGTGAAAATGATTAGGAGGACTGTATAATATGAGTAAAATTCAAAGGATTACTAGTTTGAGAGGTACAGAAATTTCTTAGCAGTTACGTGATATACTCTTCTGCAAATATTCTGCAAAACCATGTAGCCCAAATCAGTCAAGGAGGGGGGAGTGGAGCACGTTTTATGTAGATTTCAGCCTACAGGCAGACTGAAGTGCAGCTACCTTTTGCCTCAAAATGAATGTTAGCCACTTCCATTTAATGATAGCACAACAAGACTGACTGGAACAATAACTTGCTATTTGGTTCACGGGGTTGTTTTTCTGTTAGAAGCAGCCCTGATGAGCAGGTTAAGGCAGGAAAGTGATGAGCAAGGACACTTCTCTCTCTGCTGTTTGCCAAAGAAAATCTAGCCTTGCACTGCCACTTGTGAAGGTTCTCTTTGCTGCAAGTATGCCTTATGGGCAAAAACCAAGTGGGGAGGACATTTGGTAAGTGGGTGAAACCTCCTTCCTGTTCCTTTTTTTAAAAGGGAAAAAAAGCTCACCTTAGAGTAGTGATTGCCAACCTTGAGTCCTCAGACGTTCTTGGACTACAGTTCTCAGAGGTCCTGGCCAGCACAGCTGGTGGTGAAGGCTTCTGGGAGTTGCAGTCCAAGAACAGCTGGGAACCACTGCCATAGGGGATTACATGGTAAATAACACTGTCAGGAAACTGTACCAATCATTTGTGCTGGCATGAAATAGTTGGTATGCAGGTCTGGCTTAACCCTAAACATGGCACTACTACCCTTCTTTCCTATATTCTCTCTGTCCCACATTATATTAACTAATACTGTATATGCATATGATAATATTATAAAGAAGAACTATTAATGTTCAAAACATGCCTTCATTAATGCTAGCTAAAACTGTTAAGGGTAACACATTTTAGTCCCTTTATTGACTAAGAATCCCTGCTGGCATTTGTGTTGCTGAAATTAAAACAACAAATTGTGGCTTAATAAAAGTGTGATCAGAATCTTGAAGCTGGCACATCATTGCTCGAGTCTTAGAGAAGAAAAAAAACATTCATGGCATGATGTTTTGGAGAGGAAGCAGAGGGATTTATCAGTTTCCTTCCCATTACCCATCAAACATCTGATGCAATTACCAGATGAAAAAGATCTCTATAGTTCCACCCTGGCTGCTGGCTCACCAGGAAGAAATGCCTGTGTTCAAGTACATACCAACTCTCAGTACACTGACATATGTCAGCTATCTTGGACAACAATCAAACATGCTTAACTCTATAAAACTGTAAGATGTAAACATAGTGCAACATCTACATGTTCTGCTGCATTTTTTCTACCATCAACAGGACGCTTGCTTGTTAACTTATAAAAAAAACTCTTCCTTGCACCGTTCCAAGTCCAGTCATGGTTAAACTGAGAATGTTGTTTGCAGTTAAATGGGAACTGTTTCCTTCAGAGGAAGAGTGCTCAGTCAGCATAAAGCTGCAGTTCTTGCTTCTGTGACAGGCTGAAAACAACCTGCTATTTGCTACTATTATTCAATCATTCAGCTAAGCCAAACAACTTTTTGTATAAACAGAGCTGTGATGGAAAACTGCTTCAGTTAAAAAATTCCAATATGGAGATTTGCCTGAAGTACAAAACAGACTAAATAATGCTCCATACAGGTTTATATCTGATACTCACAAGGTAGCAAAGTTCTCATTTGGCTTTCAGTGTGTTTGGCTCATTAAGCCCCTTGTCAGCTTTTTATGCTCTTAACTAGCGCTCGCACCATCTTCCGCACATTTCATCATCCCTTGTCAGCCCACTCAAAATGTACACATGCAGGAGAATGTAGATACAACTTTAAGTTCTTCTTCTGATTATTCTTTCCTGTTCATGCTAAATATCAAAGTGTAAAAAAGCTGCAGTAGATCAACATGTATAAAGTTGATATGCAAGCACACATATAAAATAACACAACTTACAGAAATGTATTAGAGTTGAAGGCAAAACTATTTTAGCTGAATTTTCCTATATGGTTTTTATCAATCCAGCCATATCTTATCCATGCTTTTAATCCTTTTACTTTAACCATTATTCCAAACTTCAGGTGTTGTTGTCTCATCAAGTCACATCCGATGTATGGCGACCCTAATAAGGTTTCAAGGTATGTGAGACATGTAAAGATTGTTTTTACCATTGTTGTCCCCAATTGAGTTTCCATGGCTAAGTAGGAATTTGAACCCAGGTCTTCCCAGTTTTACTCCATTGCTATATCCATAGCCACTACGTTATACAGGCCTTCCCTGCACACTTCAGTTACTTTCCCTTTAAAGTGACATTTTGTATCATGTTTACAGAGCACGACAGAGAACAGTCCTGAGAAAATTCAGTTTATTTCATTGAACACATCATATTACCTGGTTAACAGTGCAGATTTCTTACTATAGTTTTCTAACTGTATAATCTTCCTAAGCCCCTTCTATCTTGTGACAGAGCTACCCTAGTGAATGGTAAGTGGGCATTTTCATGAAGCAATTCTAAAGTGTGACTTCTTCTCTTGCAGTGAGCTGCAAGGAACTATGTGAGTCAACCACCTATTTAGTTGCCGGCTAAGGCCATACAACAACAACAAAATTCCTCTGTTCCAGCACTTTGCATTTAAATGAGAAAATCCACACACAGCGCAACTGGGACTACTGTCCACTTAAAAATAAACTGAACCACACAATATATGTCTATTATAAACTAAGCTTTACATTTAGGTCTGTAGGGCTACATAGTCCCACGCCTTTTCTATCCCTATCAGTGTCATAAAAATGATATTCTGTTTCATTTGAGTGTTTTTCTTAAACCTGCATGGATGAAATGTGCAAGTGTACATTGAGAAAGAAAAGATTTTCCACATCTAGATGAAGCACAAAATTGATGTGGAAAAATGGATTTCACATCAGCAACCATCTGCTTTAAAGGGCTAGATCCAGAACCTGCCTTCTGCCAGCCCCGTTCGACTTATAGAAAATGCCTCTGTCTGATGTTCAGGGGTTTGCCTTTCCTCCCACAGCACAAGATACCTGTCAGCAAGGGACACAAAGGATTTGTTCCTACAGGCTACAAATGGCAACCCGTGACTTTATGAAAGACAATCCTAAATGTTATTGTGCCAAGAACAAGAAAATCAGGGTAACAGGTACCTTTGTTTCCCTTTTTGTGGTCTTCCTGAGAGGAACCAGCTGAGAGAGACAGCATAGGGAATTAGCATTGTTGTCTGACATGTCATCCACTCTCCTTTAGCACACTAGCAAGACATTCTAGTCATTGGCCAATCCAATATTACCTGATATCCTTCTTGGATCTGGTATCACCACAACTACATGACTATCACTGGAGTACAAACAGTCATACTGCTACAATCAGTACATATTTTAGGGAGAGAGATGGCAACTCTAGGAGAGAAAGCCCCTGTCCAAAAGTGTAGGGGAGGGGGGAGAAAGAGCACTTTATATTGATTCTACCACTACTATTCTGTAATTGTGACAAATCAGGCATATAATTTTCCTCCATAATTATAAACATGTTTGGAAAAATTACCTAGAATCCTGCTTAAAGGTAAGTGCACATAAACAGAATTATTTCAGTGACTACGTAACATTGTGGAATGTGGCTAAAATGTGGAGTATTCCAGGCTACAGACTACTTTGGTATGTTTAGCCACCTTTTGCTTGCCTCAACCTCAAAATCGAGTGACAACATGGTTATGAAACAGAAGCAACATTTTATTATTGAATTAGGAATTAGTGCATTCTCATTAATTGAAGTATAGCCCCATTTAGATGTTCAATGTCACATGCTTGAATAATGTGTAGGAGAAACAGCAGTACTTACTTACACTAATCCCACCTCTCTGTATTAGCAAGCTAAGATTTCTACAGATTGGGCACGTATGCAGTGGGGGATCTTCATGTGTTCATCTGAATATACTTGTTTTCCTTTATGTGCCATCAAATCACCTCTGACTTACAGTGACCGTATGAATAAGCAATCTCCAAAATATCCTGTCCTCAGCAACCCTGCTCATCTGTTGTAGAGAGAGAGAGCCATACGTGTGGCTTCCTTTAGGGAGTCAGTCCATCTCATATTGAGTCTTTCTCTTTTTTTGCTGCCTTCCACCTTTTTCAGCATTACTGTCTTTTCCAGAGCATCCTGCATTCTCATGATGTGCCCAAAGTATTACAGCCTCGGCTTCAACATACTTTTTCCTCCAGATACAGTTCAGGTTTGATTTGATCCAGGCCCCACTAGTTTGTCTTTCTGGCAGTCCAGGGTATCTGCAAAGCTCTCCACCAGCACATTTCAAAGGAATATAATTTTTTTCCTGTCAGCTTTCTTTACTGTCCAGCTTTGAAATAATAGAATTCCCCAAACAACCAGCAGTACTGTGCTTTCCGGATTTTCAACTGCATGGAGGATTCTCTGTAAATTCCACTAAACACATGAATTCCCCTTTCAAGCCTTCCACCCAAAGTACAAAGGTCTAAGGCTGCATTCACCAGAACCCCTGGCAGCCAGGACTGGCATCCACAGCCCTCCAGCTCTCAATACATTAAATGCTGTTTAAATTGAAGCAAAAAATTAAAGTACACTCACTCCCTTCCACCACAGCAGTGAACCACAGCCAAAGAACTTTCTGCACAAGCACTTCTTTATTGGAAATCAGTTAAAAGTTGTACAGCCTCAACTGTTGTACAAAAAAAATCCAAAATATATTTCTTATCCTGCCTCCAATTGCTTGAAGTTGTGCGTTTAGCTACTTAAATGTTTATTATGCTTTTCAATGACACTTTGAAATAACTTCTTTGATATGGTTATAAGGAGTCCAAAGTATATGCCCCCAATCCCACACCCCACCTTCCATCAAAGGCTGCATTATCAAGATGCAAGCAAGAAGATCGGGAAAGTTTAACTTCATAGTTGGGTTTCTATAGATTCCGGTCAGAGCTGTGGTTTCTCTTTGTCCTCTTAATAGGAACCACGTTAACGACATTCTTTCTGCTTATACATTCAGCTCGAAGAACTGGAGATGAGCAACTCCGTGTCAAACTAGGGTGTTTACACAATTGTGCCACCTGCATCCAGTTCTTTAATGTCTTCACTTTCCTTGAACACCAGAGAGACTGAAAGCATATGTACACATCGGACACTGCTCTATCAGGAGGTCCTGAGTGCTGCAGACTCCCACCAACTACCATACAAAAATAGGGCTCCTTTGTAATGTACGTTGGCAATTTATACTTCATGACATGAAACCATTTGCATTCTACCCTAGAAGAAAAGGAAATTAAAGAACATCTTTAAAAAGGGAAAAGCCTCAGATATTTGGAGAATTGCAAATGGATTTCAGTGCCTACTTCTTTTGTTTTCTCTTTCTTTCACCCCTTGTTATTTTTTTAAAGGTACACAGTATTAAAATATAAAGAACAGCTGATACCTAGGACAGTTAAGAAATACAGCTCCCAGTTTTTCTCCCACATTCCCTACACTAGATGACCACCATTTCCTGTCAAACAGATTACACAGATAATCTAGTAAGAGTGTAAAGTGCAGGAGATATGACCAACACTGTTCTTAAAACCAAGTATTCTGTTTCCAGGCGACACTGCTGAACTTCTCTGGTGATTCGCAAGGTGTGAGAAGAAACTGAATGGTGGTTTACTAGAACCTGGACTGATTGGCCATACACACAAGATGGTGTTCCACTGTTCTGTGCTACTATTCCTTCTTAGCCTTTCTGCTCCAGTAGTTACTGTAGGTTTCCTGAAACATGTTCTTGCATGGAATTTTGGCCTTCAGTTTGGAGCATATGAGAAAAGAACCTCCCATTTTCCGATGGAGAGAGTAGGTCTCCTCTGGTGGAGGAACTAGCCTGTGCTTCAGCATCACTGGGATCAAGCCATGTATCTTCTCTGTAGTTTGTTGGGAGCCAAAGTCAAAAGGTTCATCAGACGCAAATGCCTCTCCAAGGGTCAGGACAGCATCTAAGTGAGCATCTTCCATAGCCTGACAGAAAGGGGGGAAAAAGAGGCTGTTTTGAATCCTTCCAAGGGGGGGGGGAGTGGGAAATGTCAATTATCATGAGTATGTGACCCTATATGTTATGAACCACACAAAGAATGGCCTTGTGAACAGCAGCAAGATATCTCAATTTCTTAAAACACAAGGTACTCCAGCCAGCAGGTAAAGATGGCAGGGAGAGGACATGGACAAGAAGGACTGTTTGTTGTCCGTGGTAATTTTTAAATGGTAATCCAGCTCCTCCACCCCTCATGTGCTACCATGATAACGCCTCTGCAACCCAAGAATATTCAAACCTTAAAAACCTAAGGCTCACAAGGCTACATACTTTCTGTATCAAACAACAAAGTTCCAGATCACCAATATGGACCAAAGGCTGACCCAGATCCCAAGGAGCACATTTTAATTGTCTCTGCCTGCCATGGATCCATTACCCATACCTGTATGCTACTACAATATTCTATCCTCCTCTATGTCTTCAATATCCCCAAGTACCATACTCAGTAATGCAAGAAGTCAAAGCCTTTAAGAATAAACCTGCTGAACAACTGTCTCCTTCAAATTTCACATCATGATACACACACACATACATGTGTTCTGCAACATAACATATGAGACATCTGTTGAGCTATTGTGGGACTAAAAATTCCCCTGAGACTATAATAGAATGAGGGGACAAGGAAATGTAAATGAACCATATTCATCAGCCCTCCTTTAAAAAAATCCTGATCCCCCAAGAGGCAGCATGTGGAAGGTAGCAATCCATGTGTGCCAGTGCAATTCTGCTTTCTTTTGCCGCATCACAGATTGAGACAAAAATGTGTGCTCTTGAACTCACAATGAAGAGTGCTACACTGGTAAGTATATACTGTATTTTTCCATTTATAAAACGACCCAATGTATAAGATGACCCCCCCTTTCTAGCCCCAAATTAGAAAAAGCAGGGATCAAAGGGCTCCCTTTTTGATCTGCCTTGGCAAAAGGCAAGGAAAATGGCAGCATTCCATGTATAAAATGACCCTCAATTTTTTCTCAAATTATTTAATAAAGAAGTGTCATTTTATACACAGAAAAATTTGGTACTCTGCATGATGAAGTGAACTAAACTAGATTTGAAAATTATTGGGAGAGGGAAGAGGGATACCACTCTGTCAGACCCGGACTTCTCCCATGTGTTTGGGCATATGTGGATTGTTGTCATGATTAGATTCCTAACAGTGAAGGGCTACTGCCCACTGGAATGCATGCAAAGAGAGAAGTGAAGCAGGAGCACATGGTGGGAAATAGCAATACACAGATCATTTGCATAAACCAAGGTAAGCTATGAAACTGGGGTTGTCATTATGTGTCAATGAATGGCTCTACATACATTTCCTTTTTCAAACTGGGCATTTTCTTTAGCTGTAATTCTGTAAAATTGATTGAAGTTACATCAGCAGCTTAGCAAAGAGTGAACTATTATGTACAGTGGTGTCTTGCTTGACGACGTTAATCCGTTCCAGCGAAATCACTGTAGAACGAAATCGTCGTCAAACGAAAGTAAAAAGCCCATTGAAACGCATTGAAAACTGCTCAATGCGTTCCAATGGGCGAAATACCTCAGCGTCCAGTGAAGATCCTCCATAGGGCGGCCATTTTCTGGTGCCTGTAATGCGAGGAATCCTAAGCACAGCGGGGAGCCATTTTGAACAGCGGGCTGCCATTTTGAAACCCGACGATCAGCTTTTTTCTGATCGCCGTAAAGTGAAAAACCGGTTCCCGAAGCAGGGAACCAATCATCGGGAAGCAAAAAAAGCCCTTTGAAACATAGTTTAGCGATCGCAATAGCAATCGCAAAAACATTGTCATGAAGCGATTTCTTCATTAAACGGGGTAATATTTAAGCGGGGCTCCACTGTACCTTGACCTCATAACCAGTCAGAAACTTCATTTCTATTGACTTCTTCAGCACTTCCTCTCGATCCATTTCAGCAGCTGCTTTGATTAACTAAATGGGAAGGAAAAACAGAACTATTCAAATGTCTGACTATACAGAATGGAAGACGCTCCAGTTAAGCATACTCACCAATAAGAAAAATGCCTTTACAACACATTCCAGAAACATGCTCAGTATTTATAAAAACGTGTGTTTTTACCACATGGCATCTGGCAAGCGTTTCAAAAATGGTAGCAGTTGTAAAGGCCAAAAAATGTTATACCTAAATTTAAGGAATGGAAACAGTGATTTCAGTTGTAATAAAAACATAAAGCAAATCCAATCCAGTAGAAGTCTGGGTTATGTGGTTTAAAGGTGTTAAAAACTATGCACTGTATTGTGGTCAAAAAGTACAGTAGACTTCCCCAATTCATTGCTGTCTAGATGTTTTGGACTACAATTCCCATGAGCTTCACTTAACAAAGCTAATGTAAAAAGACAGGGATTGTGGTCTAAAACATTAGAAAGACACCAGTTGGAAAAGCTGAAATAAAGAATTTCCACTTGAGAATTCAGACACTTGTTCTGGGAGCAAAATTTCTAAGAAAGCCTGAAGAATAATTTTCTCATAACCAAATGAAGTCCTGAATTTTAAGCTACCAGCAGCACCACCTGAGGAAGGACATCTGGACCCTGGGCAACGAATGTCCTGCAGCGGTGCATCTGTCATTAAGCCAGTCAGTGGCAAAGACTATTTTTCCCCTTTTGTGATCAGCCTTTCAGAGTAATGTCTGTTCACCTGAACAATGATATGTACCCAGGCTATTTCTCTATATGTATTACTAGACGTCAAAACTGCTTTTTTTGATAGATACACTATCAGCATTTTTCATAAGTGTGTTTGCTTTTGAAAAATTTACACTAGGAAGAAATGCATTTGTTGAAAAGCATTTTTCTTCTATTTTAAGATGTAACAAACAAGGGCTAAAACATGCAGCAATGAGGCCCAGATGAACCTCCTTAAGAATTCCAGGCATTTCATCCAGCAACACTCAAGTCATACACACACCTGAAACCCACCAAAGATAAGCCACAAAAAAGCAGAGTCCTCACCTCTATGTAGGTATCTGTAAATTTTTCGTCATAACCCCGGGTTGCTCCAAAATCAAGAAGTGCCACCTGGATAAGCAAACATATAATATTTGGAAGCTTCAGTAATATTTATTATACAAGCTGCATCCTAATGTGGTAAGACTACAAATGGTGCTTTTGATACTGTTTCAACAGTGACACCGATCTGCGTTCATTTGAGACTTTTACCTGCATCTCACTGCAAATGGCTACAAATCTAGACTAGTACAGTACATACACAGTAACAGCTTGCCATACAAACTCTGTTTATATAAAAGCTCTACATCAGGCAAGAGGCTGCTGCTGAAGACATTTTTCTCCAGGACATACTGTTACAAATGACAAAAACTCATGCCAGCTCACACAGGCCAACATGACACCAAAGGAGAGGACACAGTACAAACTTAGCGAAGTAGCCAGTGAAAGATGCTTACATTATAAAGCATTTCTTCCCAGAGTGACAGTACTCTACCACAGCAGAGAGAACCTCCCTAAGTTCATATATATTCATTACTTGCTTCTACATAATACAACCTCATCCTTGTGAATGGAAACAGAGCCTTTTCTTTGGTAATAACTGAGACGTGCATGTACCTAAGGAGTGTGCACGGGGCTTTTGCAATGAGCAACCCGAGACGGCTGTCCCTCAAGTGTCCCACACAGATTTTTCACAGCTTCTTTCAACTTGCCCTTCAGCTGACCTGTGTTTGAGATGCAGACACCCTGACAGAGATGAGCAACGTCAGTGGAAGCCAATATTTCTATTTTTATTTGCGTCTGAGGATTTCAAACAACTGCTCCAGGGACTCCAATTAGAAACTTATCAGAGGGGCACTGGAAATTCAGAAGTTGCGAATACACTAAAACACACAACTGGGGTTTATTCTGAAACATACACTCCACTTGCAGAAGGCAAAAGATGCACCCACCCAGCCTTGTCAGGGTCCCCTGCAAGCTAAGTGCAGACCCTAGATTACATTCCTAGAGGTAGAAAGTATGAAAGCCGCTATTCCAGTCTGGGTTTTCAAGTATCTCCCAAGAGCAGAGGTGGGCAAAATATGGCTCCAGGTTGCTTCTAATGTAGTCCCCCTGGGCATGAATGTCATGTGTTTCTTCTAAAGAATAAGAATACAGAGAGAATAAATCAAAAGAAAACAAAAATACTTGTTAAAAACATGAAAGAGCAAGAATGATAGGAGCTAGTTGAGAAGACAAACTTCCAAGAGGAAAAGAGAATTAGATATCTAGGGATCCAAATTACAAGGAAGACGAGTACACTATTCAAAGATAACTATATGAAACTGATGAAGGAGATACAGAACAATTTGGAGAGATGGGATAAACTACAATTATCATTGTTGGGAAGAATTGCGACGATCAAAATAAATGTCCTGCCAAAAATCTTATTTTTATTTCAGGCAAACTCTAAAATACTAAAACAGTCCTTTTTCAAGAACTTAATAAGAACCATGAGATTTGTATGGCAAGGGAAAAAAATCAAGAATTAAATTAAAAGCAATGCAGGATGCAAAACAGAGGGCGGGTCTTGGACTTCCAGATTGGGTATTGTATTATCAATCTTGAGTGCTAGTTTGGATAAGGGAGTGGATTATTTTGGAAAATGACAGGCTACTTAACTTGGAAGGACACGATTTGCAATTTGGCTGGCATGACTTTTTATGGTATAAAAAGGATAAAGACCAAAAACACTTTACTTCACATATGATAAGAAATGCTTTACTGGGAACATGGAAAAAGATTATACAACAAGTTTATCAAAAAATACCAGTATGGGTATCACTTATAGAGGCTTATACTCACCCTAATCTTATGACGAAAGAAATAACTTTTAAGATATCAAGATTTACTTTAAAAAAGACTATGCACTAAGGTCTAAAGAAGAGTTAGAGACACAGCATATCTATATAGACTGGTGGTCCAAAGCATAGTTGGAATCACTACATTGGTCCATGCGCTCGTAATCTCGAGATTAGACCACTGTAACGCGCTCTACGTGGGGCTACCTTTCAGGGTAACGCAGAAACTCCAAGTAGTGCAGAATGCGGCGGCCAGACTCCTTAGCGGAGCGAGAAAATACCATCACATTTCTCCTATCCTGGCCGCGTTGCATTGGCTGCCCATTCGGTTCCGCCGTAAGTTTTGATGCTTACGTTTAAAGCCCTAAACGGTTTAGGACCTCGATACTTGGCTGAACGCTTACTCCCACCCAGTTCTACCCGTGTCACACGCGCGAGCCAGGAGGTGAGGCTGAGGAGCCTGACGCCGAGGGAGACCCGGAAGGAAAATACAAGAAACCGGGCCTTCTCGGCAGTGGCTCCTCGCCTCTGGAACAACTTACCTCCAGAGATTTGCGCGGCTCCCTCGCTGGAGAGTTTTAAACAACTGAAAACATGGATGTTTAGGGAGGCCTTTCCCCCTCCCAGTTAATTCTTAATTTTTCTTCTCTTCTTATCTGCTATAATTTATCTTGTTGTTTTGCCATCTTGGAGAAAATTTTTCTTTCTTTTTTTTCTAATTATCTTAATTATTTTATATATATGCTTGTTTTATGTTATGTTGTAAGCCGCCTAAAGTGTTCACAATGAACAGATAGGCGGGGTATAAATGGAATAAATAAATAAATAAATAAATAAATAAATAAATAAATGGAATAAATGAAATAAATAAATAAATAAATAAAAATAAATTCTTTGGGAGTGGAGCTGCCATTAGAAACTAAAATGCAAGATGAAATGGTTAAAGAGTGTATGATTAAGTGGGGACAAAACATAGATCATAATATTGATATTGATCAATGGTTATAAATATGGCAAAAGAATATTAAGCTTACAAAATCGGTTAATTTTAAAGAGAATATATACAAGATGTTTTATAGATGACACATGACTCCAGAAAAACTGTCGCAAATGTATTCAGATGTATCAAATTCCTGTTGGAAGTGTGAAGCACATGTGGGAAGTTATTATCATATGTGTTGGACCTGCGGAGCAGCGAAACAATACTGGAAAGAAGTGCATTTGGTATTTCAACAAATATTGCTTTGTAAGGTCCCATTAACACCAGAATTGTTTTTACTGTCTATGATATCATACAATATAGATAAAGCAAAGAAGGGTATAGCTACATATATAGTTACTGCAGATAGAATTTTATATGCTAAAAACTGGAAAAGTCCGATGGTACCGAAACAAGAAGATCTTATAGAAAAGGTAAGAGAAACGGCAGAAAACGACATCTTATCAGAAGTAATGAAGGACTGTCCTTTGCAAAAGGCAACTGAAAGATGGGACGTATTTTACAAATGGTTAGAATCACCAGATGATGTTTGAATAACATAGAACAAAATGTGGATTAAGGCTAGAAGGCAGAAAAGAGTAGAAAAGCAGAAATGGAACTTTGGACGATAATGTTAATAGAATGGATGTTAATATATTTTTGTATCTCCTCTTCCCCACAATCCCAATCCCTTTTCCCTCTTACCTTTTGTATCCCATACCAATCCCAAGTTATTAAAAAGAAAAAAAACTAAAAAAGAATAAGAATACAGTAACTGAGTGCTCACTGGAAGGACAGATCATGAAGCTGAGGCTCAAGAACTTTGGCCATGGCCATCTAATGAGAAGAAAAGACTCCCTGGAAAAGACCCTGATGTTGGGAAAGTGTGATGGCAAGAGGAGAAGGGGACGACCGAGGATGAGATGGCTGGACAGCGTCTGCGAAGCAACCAACATGAATTTGACACAACTCCGGGAGGCAGTAGAAGATAGGAGGGCCTGGCGTGCTCTGGTCCATGGGGTCACAAAGAGTTGGACACGACTAAATGACTAAACGATGAAATGCCCTAGGAGGCAATAGAATTGTTGTCACCGTCACCCGGCATTTTTTGAAGTCCTAAGGAAGTGGATGTTTTTCCTAAAGCAGAAATAATTTCCTCTCACTTCCTGTTTTCAAAACTGGCTCTTAGCAAATGCACAGAAGCATGGGCTAGTAACGCCATGAAATACCCCCTACAGCCTTTAGAGGGATCAATAATTCTTTCTGTAAATAAATAAATAAATCCTGGGGAACAGGAATGGCCGTGCAAAGCCCACAGGGATAGGAGTGCAGCCCCTGAACGTTTGGAAGCTGCCCACCATGTGGAAAGGTTTGTCTAGTTCTGCTTTTAAGGATTTATTTTAGGGAAATAAAAGTGGAGCTCTAGCTAATGCCTAGAAAACCCCTACCCCTCTCCATTAACCATCTTCCCTATTGCTACACTAGGATATGCCCTCATTTCCATATACAATCTTCAGACACCAGGTACCAAGTACAGTAAGACTCACTGTTGTCAATCTGCTGTAACCACTTCACCCTTTTGTTTCAAAGAGTTGCATGAACAATCATGTGCTGTGCTAGTTAAGGAGGAAAGGAGTGTTACAAGCCCATCTAGTACCTCATTTGAGTCCTCAAGGGTCTTACCTTATGCAATTCTGGGTCATAGAAGAAATTGGACCAGTTTGGATCAGTCTGCATGTATCTGAACTCAAACAGCTCCCGGAGACACAAAACCAGTATGTTGTGGCAGATCTGCAAAAATTTCAACAATGGACAAATAAAAGGAGATGAAATCAAGAGTGAAACACAGATGCCATCTATCTCAAAGTCAAGTAACTTTCAATATGCAGAACACACTGAGAGATCTGTTATGACCATTCCATAGTGTGTTTTAGTTGGAATACATTTGTGAAGTCTCCTGAAATTAGATGTGGGGAGAAATGACTGACTCCCTGCCTTCCACATCATACAACTCTGACCTTGAGAATAGGAAGTGTGGCTGCTTTGTGTACCCACTGAAATATATAGTCACCCATTGCAATGAATCACTTCATGGTCTACCTCCTTCAGGCAAATCCTGTACCACCCGCAAAATAACTGGAGGTATTGAGCCAATGCTAACTTCGTAGGGAACTCATTAACATGAAAGACTAAAAGAGGAAACAAACGCCACTTTCCCCAATTTTTGAAAATCTATTTTGTGAATGTGAACATCACAACAGGTGTTGGAAAATATGCAGAGATACACTTGTCAAGAGCCTGTTTCAGCTGCTGTTGGCTATGGAATATAAAATATATGGCAAACTGTTACTGTGTAGTGTGCAGAAGCAACGTGCTGTTGGCTATGGAATATAAAATCTATGGCAAACTCAGAACTGTTACTGTGTAGTGTGCAGAAGCAACTTCCTGATACAGCAATATGATTACATTTCTACAGCCTAGCTTGGGAATTCTAGGAGTTGTGATAGAAATAAGTGTTTTCCTCACTGTGGATTTACTTCAGCAGGAGCAATCCTCCATCAATAAATGCTTGTAAGCCAAGTCTTAGTGTTGCTATCTGTATACCTTTCACATTTGGTCAAGACAACCAGCCATCATGGAGACAGGATGGTATGAGGTCTCCTGCCTTCGGCAGAGGGTTGGACTAGAAGACCTCCAAGGTCCCTTCCAACCCTATGACAATTCTATGATGATTCATGAGACAGCAAGAATCCAGTCAAGCCCTTGGCATCTCTGGATCAGCAACATCCACAGAGATGTGTAAGGGGAAAGAACACAGGACACCCAGGAGTAACAGTGACAAATCCTAACTCTACTGTAACTAACCAACAGTCCTTTTGTCTGGAAAGCACACTTTATATGTTGCTAAGTTATGTGCTGACAGCTCTTAAACGTGTTTATGGCTTCCAATGAAGTATGCAAAATACCAGGGCACCTCTTTCTGCCAATCTGCCAGTGTCTAGAATGGCTGTCCTCCCATTAACTCTCTAGTCTGTACTATATTCAGCGCCAAGGATCTTCTACCCACCCCACACATCTCTTCTGTCTCTTGTTTACGGAGAGTACTTTTCCAACAGCCTTTGGCTGCCAAGGATGGTCCAGCTGGAACAATCTATATTTGGCTGCTTGTGTCATAAGAAAATGATGCATTTCTGATCACTTGCATAAGAATAAGATGATCACTTTTGGAAAGCTAGTCATCCTACCAAGGTCACATTTGTCCTCTGAAAAACCAGTTGCCAGAAGAGACACAGCTAATGGAATTGGTTTGCAAGGTAGCAGAGAATGTAGCTTATGGATATGATGTAGTCCATCCAGTATTTCTCAGTTTCCAAAGTTTGAGCAGTTTATGCCAAACTGATAACTGGACAGGAGAATGCAATGTGCAACCTTCCAAGGAGGAACTGCAGAACAAGGGTGCAAGAAGCACCTTTGAGGCAGCAGAGAGCATGGCCAGAAGGTGCTAAGAGGAGAAAGACATTACTGGGACTTTTCCTGAAAGGATCCAAAAGTTGGGATGAGCAACCTTTATAACCCTGAGGACCAGGTGTGAAGCTGGCTGCATAGCCAGGTCTCTCATACATACACAGTCCTGTTTTTCCTGCCAAACCATTTTGATTGTGATCCATGGAAAGAGGGAAAGGAGAGCAATTTTTCTGGGGAAAGAAGGTGGGCAGGAATGACTATTCTCACACAGCCTCTTTCATGACACACTCTCCTCATGGGAAAAAGACAGATTTACCAGCAGAATTGGCTATACTGGGCTGCAAATACTTCCCTAAAATCCTACTATACCCTTACAGCATTATCAGCAAGAAAACGAAAGGTTTCCAACATAACATTAATATGGCCTATACTTTCCAAGACACCTTCTTATAAAAATGGTCTGAGAAAGTTGCCAGTGTTCTCTGTGTTTACAGGCTTCCTTTTGCTGCCTCCAAGATGAAACAGTCTAACAGTAGTACCTCATTCCGGATCTCCTGGCTCAGTCCTTCAGCTTGATCCAGTGGAAACCCTGACACCAGCTCAGTGGTCAAGACATGTGAGCTGCACAGTTCCTCTACCACAGCAGGGACATAAAAGAATGGATGGTCCTTGAGCAGCTCTCTGGGGGATAGCAAATGAAAGGGTAAGAAAAGCCTCCTCAGGTTTAGGAACTGCAATATCTGACAAATATGGAACTGCTTTGCCAAAAGGCAGTTATCATGTTCTTCCGAATCTCCTCTTTCAAGACTTCCCATCATAACAAGATGGCCAAGCCTTAGTGTTTGAAACCAGCAATTAATACTATCTTACAAACACTCATTAGCATTACACAGTAAAATGGGAGAGTGGGGATAAAGAGAGGCGGAAAGTTCCTTGTGAAACATACCTGAATTTCATTACACAGGTTGCTTCTCTCTGGTAATCACACTCCAGGGCCAGTTCTCTGCTCAGAACTTCAATCAAATGTTCAGGGAATAGACCTAGATGGAATGTCGAAGAAACTGCTTAACACTGGATAGTGAGCTAACATAATTAAATGCCTACACAACTTAATCTCACAAAAACATAGGAATCTGACTTGTACTGGGTCAGATCACTGATCCATCTGGCTCCATAGTGTTGATACTGATTGCCAATGGCTCTCCTAAATGACAGACAGGCATCTTCTCTAGCCCTCTCTGGAGATATTGGAGATGGAACCTCAGACCTTCTATACACAAAGCATGTGCTTTACCCCAGAGCTATAGCCACTCTAGCTCACATTTAAAGGAATCTGTCAAAACCTCTATGAAAGCCCAGGTGTTTTCCAAAGATCATGCATGCCACACTTTAGCATCAGGGTTCCCAAATTAAATTCAATAGTAGACAGCCATCCAGGCCTATAATTAGTGTGCTGTCTGTGGAAACCACCTTTGTTTTTAATATGCAGAAAGGGGAAGGAAAGAACACCAATGATCTTCTCCATAAATGGTAAAGGAATAACAAAGCACTGGGGGCCCTTTCCCTCTCTCTTTCTTTCACTCATCATCTGTTGACTGATGATGAAAAACAACAGGGATTAAAATGAGTATCATGGAACTTTGCCCAGCATTCAACACAGCCAAGCACAAAAACATCTCAAGAGAAGTGGTTTCTTCTGGAGCTTCCACTCACATCTGGCAGCAAATCCACAGATTTTTGACAGATGAAAGACAGAAAAATGTGTTGTTGTAGTAGCAAAGATTCATCCTCCACCAACTTTGGCACCAACTTCGTAGGCATGAATATTGGGCTCTTCCAGGTATGTGTTCATTTTTTTAAATAAGCAAAGCAGTATGAATCAGGCTCAGCATATGTAGCTAATACTGATCATGTGCACTTCCAACTATAATGTAAACTGCCTATTGTAAAAATCTTTCTTACAATTTCTATGATTCCTCAATTAAAAATCCTGCCCAAACTGTGCTTTTTGGTAAGAGAAACACAGCTGAAGTTTCTGAAAACAGTTTAAACCTCTAAACTCCAAAGTCTAATATATTTTCATTCCAAACCTATTGTCAAGGCCAAAGTACTGTGCAGTTGAGGACAAAATTCAAAGAGCAACTCTATATATGTTCACCATGTTACATCCAAGCATAAATAAAAGTATGTTTGTATACAGTGGTGCCTCGCTTAACGAGCGCACCGTATAACGATTAAATCGCAAAGCGATCCGTTTTTTCGGATCGCTAATGCGATCGCACAACGTTGTTCCAATAGGGAAAAATTTGCTTTGCGAAGACCGGTAAGCGTTTCGCTTACCAATCTTCGCAAAACGACCCCCGCCGATCAGCTGTTCGGCGGCCGGGAAATGGCCTAAAATGGCCGCGCGCAGCGTTTTCGCGCCCTCGTTAAGCGAGGCGAGGGCGCGAAAATGGCTGCCGGCCATCCTGAAGCTTCGCTGAACGGTGAGTATTTGGCCTATTTGTGCCATACTATGCCATACTATGAAATCGCTGCCCTGTTCAGCGATGCTTCAGCATAGCGAAGGTTAATCCGGAACGGATTAACCTCGCTATGCGAGGCACCACTGTATTTGAAAGACTCATCACAGTTCAAATGCCCAGTAATACAAAATTACTCCCTGAGATAGAACTTTTGAATGAACACTGCTGATGACAAAAAAGGGGAGTGACAATTTACTGATGCAGAGTCAGAATATGTCAGGATATTGTAATTTTTATAGGCCTGAACCTGGATAAATGTGTTATTAATGAGCTGCCATTGTGAGCAGATGTGTGTATGCTGAGTCACTGTGACTGCTGAGGAGATGATGCAATCTCTGAAGATGAGATGACACCCAGGTGCAGAAGATGATGTAATGTGTCTTCTCATTGGACTGAAGAAGCCTTGTATATGTATATAAGTGAACAGTGTGTTCATAGATTTCTCTTCCCTCTCTATCACTTGCTGCTATGCTCTATGCCGGTTTGTTTAATGATTTCCTGCCATGCTGAAGTGATGCCAGCCTGTATATACTTGTAAACACTGTAAATACACCTTCTTCTTTAGCAAGACGGATGTAAGTGTCTTCAATTAACTCTGCGTATTTTCCTGTCGCCAAATCCTGACAGAATACTCTATCTGTCATATGTTTCTTTTCTAGAACATAAAGATGTGACCACTATAGAAATAACTCTAGTTGGATCTCTCCTATTCAAGGTATTAAGGAATCTGCACAAATTAAGTTGTGGCTACTGAGAATGAAGCAGGCAGACAACCCATAAGATTTTAGCAACTGCTTAAGGCTCTGCTTCCATCTCTCTCCATTCAGAAATGTGGTTCCTTTCCACACAAATCCTTCTCCTTCCCAAAAATGCCAGTGGCTTTTTACCTTCTGGGAGAACATTGCTCATACTGAGGACAGTCATCAGGTTGCTGACATCACTATTGATACTCTGGGCCACTCCAGGATACTGTAAGAGAGAAGAGCAAAATAGTAAGAAGACAACCTGATCTGGATTTCCTACTAAAGACTAAACCAGTCTTTTCTAAACCAGGTACCAGATGGGTCAGACTACAACTCCCATCAACCCCACCCCACCACAGCCAGTGGTCAAAGACACAGAAGTTGCACACCAAAGCATCTGCAAAGTGCCATACTATGAAAGACTGCTCTAAACAGGCCCAGTAAATAAAACTACTACCTTAAATCCCTCTATATCTCTCTGCAGAAAGCATCAGTCTAAAACCAACAAGAAAGCTAATTAAAACTGCTGAAGCATATTATGGAAAAGAGGCCAAAGGTTTCAGAAATGGCCCCATCCCAAATCTGACCAATGCTCTATCTAGATCAGTGTTTCCCAACCTTTTTTAGTTGTGTCCCTCTTTTATAATAGCCAGGTAACCTGCAACCGTCTGCCCCAACATCAGTTATCTTTTGCTGGTAGATTTGGCACATCTGCCAATAAAAATAATTTGGGACCATCCCTGCAGATCGGACTAGTCCAGCAGCAAGTAGTACCTACCACCACCCACCCTCTCAGAGCAAACTATCCAATATTTCACAAATAACTGCTGCTGCCACCACCACATTCTCTCTAATGACAACCCAAAGAATCAGACACTACTGGCCTAGGCAGTATTTAAGAGGGTTAGGCAATTAACACAGTGACGAAAACAGCAGCAGCATTGCAGAAATTGCTTTCTTTTCCTTTTCTTCCCCTCTGGGCCAGCACAGAATGAAAAGGGGGAAAAAGGAAACCAGAAAGGAAGAGTTGAGTGAGAAAGCAGAGGAAGTGGTGGTGTGAATGTGCCCTTTGGAGGCACACTGGTCACTCTTCCTTAAGCTGGGTCATAAGGCTCGATCCCCATTCTCTCCTGTCCAGGGAAGCAAATTTAGCTTTATCTGTCCCTCACAACCCACCATGCTGGATTGTATAGCAGGAACCATGGCGATTATCCCCCAAGGGAACCAGAACTTTGTGGTTCCCTTGGGGGGTCATGACGCACAGCTTGGAAACTTGTGATCTAGCTCAACATTGTCTGTGTCTGCGGGCAGCAGCTCTCTAAGGTTTCATATGTAAGCCTTTTCTGGCCCTGGCTGCAAATCTCAGGGATTGAATCTGGGGCCTTTTGCTTGCAAGGTGAAGGTACTATGACTTGTCCCTATCAGAGTCAAATCAACAACAGACTGGCAGGAATGCTTTGAAAAATGATATAAATCTGCTGGAAATCTGAGTAGCCTTTTCTTCACATTGCAATTTTGCACAGATTCTAAATTTGCAGGAAAAGCAATATCCTTTTGTTTAGCACACTGGAGTAGGCCCATTTGAAGCAAAAGGAACTTATGGAGAAGGTGATTTGTTAAATCCCATTGGATTCAATTGCTTACTCTAGTGTGATTTGCTACACTAAGCAACAGAATTTGGGGCAGTGAGTTAAGCTTCCTCTATCTAAGCTTACTTAAATTATCTGCAACTGTGCAGATCATGGATTTTCAATTTTTCAGGCAGACATACTTCAGAATATAGCCTCAGAAAACTCCAGCTCAGTTCCCTCTTTTCTCTTCACACTCAGGGGAAGTCAATTCTGACAGCTTAACACCTGCATTCTGGACAGAGGACTGTCAAAACATCTGCACCAAGTGAAACTTTCCATGACTCAAATCTGGGTTGGGTGTCGGGGGGGGAATAAACATACGTACAACATCCACCCAAGAACAGCAGCTAAGATACCCCTTCAGCTATCTGTAAGTCTTTACACTGTTGTGTTATACAAAATATTCATGGTGAAAGCTCATCAAGATTGCTTAAGATAAGCAATCTCAAGATTACTACCAAAAGGATACTTCCTGGAAATTATTCTGAGAACAGCATATAAACAATATACAAGTATGAAGAGTAAATTGTTCAGACATACAACCTGAGCAGTGAACATGTGTGAACACTTTAACACATGCGAATCATTCACATGATGCACTTTAATGTGTCACATCAGCTCCAAGAATAGCATCTTTACTGATGTCAAACAATTTATGTATAGATCCAACACAGACAGAAAGTCAGATATGCCCAAAACAAGAAAACGCTTTATATTTACTTTATTTCATTACTGCATGGTCACAGACCCCCCATTCGTTAAAGCAATAAAAAAGGAACAGAATAATAAGGCATAATTATTTAGGCATAAACATATTTAAGAGAATTCAGTCAATTAAAATAACAGACTTTTATCCCTGCCCATCTGCATCCTTTCTAGAAGAGAACTATACCTACCCATCTGTTTACACTAAATTCAAGTAATTAAGGTAGGCTGATAAATAGGAATAAAGGCATGTTTAAACTGATTTAACTGAGTGTTACTCTGAAGACTTGTAACCCTGGTATTTCCAGAGTGAAATTAAAAGGCATTAAAATCCAGGTGCACAACTACCTTCAACTGGGCAACATCAGTAGAAGAACCACAAGACAAATATATGGTAATATATAGAGCTAGTAATCTGAAAATCCTACCTGGATTTTCATGGCAACTTCTTTACCATTCTTCAAGCGAGCCAGGTGAACTTGTCCAATTGATGCTGCAGCAAAAGGACGCTCCTCAAAAAACTCTAATTTATCACGCCAGTTAGGGCCAAGGTCATGGTTCAGTGTTTTCTAGATGAAAGAGAAGCAGAAGCCACAAAATAAATGTATACAGATGGAAACTTTGCCTAGGATTTCTTACACATCCCAACTACACTGAATGTCAAGACTGCACAAGCTGCCAGAAAAATAATCAAAGTCACCACTGGCATGCATAATACAGCAACAAATGCTTCATGAAGCATAGCTCTAACCTGCAAAGAAATCCTCTATAATAACACCTAAAAAATGGAAGTGGCTGGAATACAACATGGGTTAGTGATTGTTCTCACAGCTTGCTGAAGGAGCGCTGAATCTAAATAATGAATCATCAAACTATTATACAAATGAGAAGCAAATGCTTCATGAAGCACAGCTCTAACTTGCAAGGAAATCCTCTATAATAACACCTACAAAATGGAAGTGGTTGGAGTACAACATGGGTAAGTGATTGTTCTCACAGCTTGCTGAAGGAGCGCTGAATCTAAATAATGAATCATCAAACTATTATACAAATGAGAAGGCCTGCTTTCTGCTCAGATTCCTGTCCCATCATGTTGCTCAACCCAATTCTCACCATCATTTGTTTTATAGGCATGAAGTCTGCACTCTGACGGACACGTTCAAAGATCTTCTGCAGGTGAGGGTTGATGAAGGCATCGTCTGTAGAAAAAAAGGGCCATCTGTTAATCAAGGTGGTTATACTGATGTTCCAGCCTCCGCTGCTGCTCTCAGCTATAGAAGTTGCATCTTCTGGCTTTTTATTAAGTGAGCTTAGTACTTCTAGTTCTCTTTTCCTGAACACAAGTAACACGACAGAGAACTGTGTACATTTTATGTTATACTTAAAAAAACAGTTTGGAACTACAAAAAAGAAGCCAGAAAAAGCTGGTAAAATTGGACTGCTGTGACTAGTACAACTGACAAAATGTATGCAATTTTCATTGCATTTTTTCCACCCCCAGCATTTCTGCACAATTAATCTTCATAAACCTTCATCTGAGCTACTCTCAATCAATGCCTCCAAGCTGTCAAGTTTGGGTTTCTTGCAGCTAAGAAGGTTCAACAGTGTGTAGCTAAGGTAAGATCCTTGACACTGCAGCCAAGGCCAAAGTGATGGCAGGATGGAACTCATAGGACCTATGGAATTCCTTATCTTAAGTGCAGTACAAACGTCAGCTCCCATAAATAGGGGGGAAAGTCTGGGATTCCCAAAGAAGAGTTGTGCTGGAATTTCATATTCTCTATTCCTGTCCCCCTTTGAGTTGCAGTAGAAACAGACTTGGCAGCAAGCATCAAGAAAAATGTTTATGTATATTTCAATTCTATACAGTCTCTTCCACTTTCACCACATCAGAAAAACGTAATGTAAACACGTCCATCAGCTGTGATCCAGTACCTATCCTAGGACTTATTTGTTTTGCTTGCCAACATATCCATGAATCTTCTCCACTTGCTATTTATGCGACAAGGCCTACTGGGCTTTCAAAGAACTATGGAAGGAATAAAATACATATTGGAACAGAAGCAGGGCTATTACTTCATATTTTCTGATCCATAGGCAGCACTCCTCCTGTATCATGTGCTACGATGCAGCAGACCAAGGTGTTTATTGTGTATTTGGCATGATTACAAATCTCAAGGAACTGAGAAGAACAATAATGGAAAGAAAGAAAAGGTTGAGAAAGAGCCACCATAGCTTCTCCTTGCCCAACATTTGGATTCTCATGGTTGCATTCTCTGCAAAGCACTCAGCACAGCATCCGATACGTATGTCAACATTTTGTAGTAATAACAGAAGCAAAATAAAGGACCAGAAAAAGACACAAAAAAACACATAAATAAACTGCCCCAGATGTTAGAAAAACTCTTAAATGTAACCATGGGGGATTTAACATTCAAGGTGTTGTTGGTGACAGGGGCCCGAGTGTGAGTTTAAAAACTTTAGCAACAAAATAAAAAGGAAAGAAAGTTGTTTACAAGATGAATATAGATTAATGCTATATGGAATATCTAAGAAAACTGGGATGTTTCATCTCAGACCTAAAGGGATGGGGAGGCATGCTAGCTCTTTTCAAAAATGTTGAGGAATGGTTAGAAAAGTAATAATTATCCTCAGGCTCTCCATGCTCAAAAATAGAGCCTGAAACAGTGGTTTCATACTGTAAGGGTATAAATTAGGTTGAATATAAGGAATGTCCTTAAAAATATTTCATTCCAAGAAAGGCTGGAGGGCTGTTTCAAGTAAAAGACTGGATGGGTCAGTGGCACAGCTGGTTCAGGTACAGAATCTCTTTTTTCAGGATAAGTGGTGGGATCACATTAGGCACAACCATGTCTTTGTAGGATCATGGCAGGTGATCTTCACCACTTCACTTCACTGTCCATACTACTGCCTCTTATGCCTCTTGCAACTGCCTCTATAGGATACTACAACCAAAGGTTATCATCAAAAAAGAAAGGTGAAAATGAAACTGAGGTGCCTCCCATTTAACTAAGTTCCTTCTTCCTAGTTAGGCAGCTTGAGCAAAACTGACCACAAAAAACTACTGTATGCCTTTTACAGGATGAAGGGACTGCAAACAGATGCCAGCCTGAACCTCTCACTACATTCTGAGAGCTTAACAATGCCGTTCTGTATCAGCCACTCACTGTTCATGGAATGAGTAATTCAAAAGGACTCCTCAGTGTTGTGTCTTTCTGGGCCTTTTCAGAAACACTAGAGCAAACATTACAGAGGGAAAGCTTAACAAAGCAGTGGAACGCATCTGCCCACCACAGTTGTTAAAGAACTGCCGTAGCTTTGGGTTCTGTTTATTTCTTTAAAAGCCTCCAGTAGTGCTGGAAATGCTATTAGTGGAGAGACAAGAGGGCCTTCTTAAATGAACAGTACAAAGAAATAGAGGAAAATAAGAGAAAGGGAAAAACCAGAGGTCTATTCAATCGCTAGACGATTGCCTCGCTGGACAAAAACTCACTAGACGAATGGGTCCCGTGAGGGTTTTCGTGCCTCACAGGACGATTGTCCCGATGGCGGTTTTCCGCAAGACAAATGAGGCACCATTCAGAGGCTTAGCAAGCAGAATTACGCCGTTTTCTCCTGCCTTCTGTAAGGCTCCGAACGTAAAAAGAAAAAAGAAAAGAAAGCCTTTTTACATTCAGAGCCTTACTGAAGGCAGGAGAAAATGGCGGAAACTTCAAAAATGCATCTTGGTAAGACTGTGCAACCACAGGCCTTGGAGGTCCCCTGCCAATCCTGGGATGGTGCACAGAAAGGCTCCGAAGGCCCCCCCCCCACGCGCGTGCAGAGCACATCCAGCAGTGTTCCAATGGTGCAGAGAAAGCCATCAGAACATTGACAGGTGTGTCCCGCGAGCCTTTCCCTGCATCTTCCCAGGACTGGCAGGGGAGCTCCAAAGCCGGCGCATGCGGTTGCAGAGTCTTAGCAAGACGCATTTTTGAAATTCCCGCCGTCTCCTCCTGCCTTCGGTAAACATAAAAAGGAAAAAAAAGAAAGCCTTTATACATTCAGAGCCTTACCGAAGGCAGGAGGAGACAGTGAAAGCCATCGGAACACTGGCAGGTGTGTCCTGCAAGCGCGGGCGGGCTTCGGAGCCTTTCCCTGTACCATCCCAGGACTGGCAGGGGACCTCCAAAGCCAGCGCGTGGGATTGCAGAGTCTTAACAAGACGCATTTTTGAAGTTCCCGCCCTTTTCTCCTGCCTTCGGTAAGGCTCCAAATGTAAAAAGGCTCCAAATGTAAAAAGAGGAGAGCGCCAAAAATGGTCTAAAGCTCAACATAAAAAAAAACCTAAGATCATAGGCAATGACTGTTTTACCCCCTGGCAAAGAGAAGGGGAAGATATGGAGGCAATGACTGTTTTTACCTTCTTGGGCTCCATGATCACTGCAGAGGGGGACAGCAGCCATGAAATTAGAAGACGCCTGCTTCTTGGGAGGAAAGTGATGACAAACCTCGACAGCATCTTAAAAAGCAAAGCCATCACCTTGTCAACAAAAGTTCGAATAGTCAAAGCTATGGTTTTCCCTGTAGTGATGTATGGAAGTGAGAGCTGGACCATAAAGAAAGCTGACCGCCGAAGAATCGATGCTTTTGAATTGTGGTGCTGGAGGAGGCTCTTGAGAATCCCCTGGATTGCAAGGAGATCAAACCTATCCATTCTAAAGGAAATCAAGCCTGAGTGCTCACTGGAAGGACAGATCCTGAAGCTGAGGCTCCAATACTTTGGCCGTCTCATGAGAAGAGAAGACTCCCTGGCAAAGATGCTGATGTTAGGAATGTGTGAAGGCAGGAGAAGGGGATGACAGAGGACGAGATGGCTGGACAGTGTCTGCAAAGCAACCAGCATGAAATTGACACAACTCTGAGAGGAAGTGGAAGACAGGAGGGCCTGGCGTGCTCTGGTCCATGGGATCACAAAGAGTCAGACACGAGTTAACAACTAAACAAAACTTCTCATGTTGTTCTGAACTTAATAGAGCAACAGGCCTGAATAAAGAGAATTCTGGTCATCAACAGAAGTAGCAAAGAGAACTGAAAAGTATGAGCCCAAGTAATTCTCAGAGAAGTTTGCATGTTCATCTGCTGAGCATAAAGAGCCAAGGGTCTTGTGGAAATGTAAAGACTGACATGCTTCTTAAAGATTAGTAAGCTTCAGTGGGTAAGACTGATGTTCTAATGAAGAAAAAGTCTAGTCCACAAAAGTTGTTACTGTATTAAGTATCTTCATTTGCTAGAAATGTATCTCTATAAAATTAAGTCACCTTGAAAGCACTGATACAGTTTCAGATTTAACTAAAATCAACCCCCAGAATCCCCCCATCAGATGGCTAGGAGTTTCTGGTAATCCAAAAAGTAACTTTTCCAAGCTTCATTTGCAGCTAAAAACTAAAATAATACAGGCAAGAAAATGGTTTCTAGGATATCCAAAGAAATACCGCTGACTCCCTCCCAGACTCAAGGCCTATCTTCGCCCACCACCCTGTTCCCCACAAGGTCCCACCAGAACCTCCAACCTGCTGCCTTTTCCCAGCAACTAACATTCAGAGGCACACTTTCTCATCCTAGGAACAGCACACATAGCTGCAGAGACAAGCAGCCACAGAGCATTCCTCTTTCAACTTTCTGTTCCCTCTTGCTCTAAGAAATTATAGATACCCATTCTTCGTATTTTACATCTTCAAATTCTTCAAAACACACACAAAAAATAAAATAAAGAAAGCTATTATGATACTAAATCCACAAAGGACATGGCAGGGGCTGAACTCAATTATCCATAGGATCCCTTTCAGCTCTGCAGCTCTGATAATGATGATAATGATGATATAAAGGACATGGGACTACACAGCATGCCCCCACCACCTCTGAATGAGTGACATAATTTATCAATACATAATACACCTAACTGTCCTCATTTTCTCAGAGCACCTAGTAGATTCTCAGTTTGTTCTTGAAATTCCTTAATTCCCAAGCTTTCATTTAAAAATAATAATACAGTAAAAGATAGCCTTATAGAAGGCCAAAGTATGAGGCAAAACACCCAGTAACTCTTCTATGGTTTTGTAACAATCAAATCAGCTATTGCCTTTCAATATGGATAGTTAATGAGTAAAAGTACTGATAGTCTGTCTGACAGGATAGCAAACTTATCAAGTTAAGTGAGCTAACCCAGTTAAATGCTATAATTTTTGGAAAGCCTAATCTGTCTGCAGACAGTGGAGATCTGTTCCATAGTATTGCCTGCAAAAAGTGCACAGAAAGCAATTGACCTATAAGAATGAAGGGGATTGTTGTTAAGAAAACAAACTTCTATGGTTGTCCTCTCCCTATGATCCCACCACAGATAAGCTAGATTTAGCTGAAAGGTAGCAACTAGGACAGAATGTTAAGAGACAAAATGGTTTCCTATAGGCAAAAAGACCTGCAACCTGGAGTTTAGAAAAACCTAGCAGGAAAAAATATTTCACAGATCACTTGTTCATAGCGTTGCCATAAGTCAGAGGCAACTTGACAGCATGTAACAATGTCAGCAACTGGGAATAGATACTCCACTAAACTGTAGTAGGTTTTGTTGTTTTGACTTATATCTCACCTGACAGTGCTGAAGTGTGCTCTGGACAGTTTACAACATAATTAAACAAACATTCCCCTTCCTGAGTTCATTGACCTCGGAAGGATGGAAGGCTGATTCAATCTTGATCCGGCTATCTGAATCCATCAGGATTGAACCCAGGTCATAAGAGTCACTATGCACTATCTTCTAAAACTAGGAGTTGAATCATTACCAAATTGACACTGGCATTCACTGTAAACAAGTGTGCCTAATTCCTGGCTCTTCCAAACCATAAACTAAATTCATGCATCACCAGACAAGAAGGAATGTCAAAACTACCAAAGGGAACAAGCAAGAAACACAGAAGTAGTTCTTTGCATTACCTTGAATGCTCAGCATCTGTCCCAGCTTCAGCGCAGCACCACGAACCTTGCACAGTGTCCTAACAATTCTTTCCGCATTGGCTTCTGACAGAAATGGGCTGGAATCTGCAACACCATTCTTTCCTAAGGACAGGCAGACAGAATAGGTTTGAGATGGCATCCATTTTCAACTATCAGCATATGCTGACTAAATAACTGGTTCTTAGGATGACTATTTTTTAAAGTGATAGGCTGGTCACAACAGCATCAATGCATGCTCTGGAAAAAAAGGGAAAAGGTAGAAATCATACCAAATTAAGGCCCAACTAACAGTTGCCAAATGGCTTCTAGGAACTGCAGTCTTTGACTACAATTCCCAGAAACCTTCACTACCAGCTTTGTTGGCCAGGGTTCATAGGAGCTGCATTCCAAGAACACCTGGGGTTTCTGAGGTTGGGAACCACTGCTATAGAAGAATATTATAATTAGTCTGTATTATCATATTACAAACTTTCTTAGACTGCAATTGCTAGCCTGAGGGTGCCAGGGACAAAGAAGCCTTCACCAGTGGCTGAGGTTTCCGGAAGTTGAAATCCAAGAACACCTGGGTTACCCAAGTTTGGGATCCACTGTTCTAGAGGAAACCAAACAATACATGTGGTAAACAATCAAAATTTCATTCAATTAGAAGTATAGCTTGTCGGCTGATTTCTTCTTGTTTTCATGCAAACTGAGGCTGCTTTTTTGCAAGTGATCTGCAGAATATAGACTGACAGCTAGATTTTGTAAAATGACAGCAGTTTATTGACTCTGATTAGCCAAAAATACACAACTATATCACATATTAGTTGGGAGATTTTCTGCCTACCATGGAAACCTAGATTTGCAGTGATGGAAAACTGAGACTGAGAGGCTGTTGCCACATTTTATTAAATTACTGAACTTAGAAAGTTGAGATTAGAGAAAGTATTCTTGGAGCAGACAAGTGAACAAATCAGAAATTCTTCCCAGTAACAACAGCTTACTTTTTTAAATTACTATAACAAAATATAACAGAAACATAAATATAAATGCTCCACTATTGTGAGTTTATATATGTTCTCAACAATGTTTAATCTTAATTTATATCATGGGCGCCATCCCTTTCCAAAAATATAATAATGCTTGTGTTGGGATATAACCTTCATGTTTTGTAAATACCGGTACATATTCTATATAAGGGTTTCAGATCCCATTAAAACTATTTTATTTCAATAATCCTTTTCTAACTTTAAATTCACAAGTTAATGTAACATTAATAGTTAGGATTCTACATCTCATTATACCATTCTTCCAACATCAATTTATTATTTTTCCAATTCCTTGAAAATTCCAATCTAACTGCTGTTAATGTAATAACAATTAGTTTTGTTTTTCCAACAGCTTGCTATTTTATCATGAGAAAAAAGAATTATAAGATTTGGAACAAAGCAAAATATTAAGTCACCTTCAAACTAAGGCTTAACATCCCGGCTTCTTCAAAAGTTACCAAAGATAGCTTTCTGATTAGGACGGAGCAAGAAACAGCTGAAAGATTTCCTGGTCTGTTCATAGCAAGGAAGGTGCCAAAGTCACTGTTGTGAATGTCCAAGGCACTTGTTGGTATTTCAACTTAACTGAGCCCTGAGGCAAACCCAAGGGTACAGTGAAGAATGCAGAACAAACTAAAATGTAAACCCAGGCCAAATATTCTGCCACTTCTCTTGCAGAAATATCAAAAACACAAATTACTTTTAAGACTCAATAGCTCAATAACCCACATGGAGTCCTTCCTATGGGCTGTCAAGTGTGTGGTTTAACCAAGTAAGTAATTATTGCCCCTTCCTCCAGTAAAATTCAAAAAGGAGGGACTTACCTGTAACTCTGTTTCTCTGAGTGGTCACCTGTGAACTCACACATTCAGCCCAGCCCCACCCACCCCCGGTCCATCATGATAGCCTTAAGCTCATTTACAGTGGCAGAACTGAGGCTATACCATGGGCAGAACATGTGCACCTGGGAGGGGAGGTCCAAGCAAGCATTTACAAAAAAGTTCTAGAACATTCTGAGGCACTTTGCACAGGCACAGAAGAACCCATTTGTATGCATTCACAGAGACCTCAAAGAAGAACCAACCATTCAGTCTCTCTACAGTTTTTTTTTAACACACTTGGCCTTCTCAGGCACACTAGAAGCTGTTCCAAAAGCTCTAATTCAGAGCACGTTACCATAGTCTCTCGAGACTGAAGGATGCCTACAGGACTAGGCTACAACTCCCATCGCCCCTGACACATAGCAAATAACTGATGATGGGGGATACAGTTTTTGAAAGTATCTTCTGGAAGTATCACCCTCTTTTGCACCTCTCCATAAAAAGTGTTTAATTTATTTGTATATGTATTTAAAATATAGGGATGTTTGGATAATAGAGTAGGCCGTAACTGTTCTTTTCATTGGCTGTCTCTACCTATTGCCCAAGACAACCATGTTCTTCTTGTCACCTCAGTCCTCCTTATCTTTAAGTTGTTAAAATCTCTTGAGAGGGGGGCTATGTCCCCCCCCCTTCCTCCGGACATGTGTCATATTCTACTTACTTTAGGAGAAGATTTTTATTAAATGTATTTTCTAAATAAATCTTAATCATTTCATTACTTAAGTTCATTTGCTTCCTGGATTTATTACTCCAGGGAATAGACAAATAAAGGTACAGTAGCTTTAAATGTCTATAGGAAAGACTGTTGCACCCTAACTCTGCTAAACAAGAGGGATCCCTAACAGAACAGTCCCACAGTTCTTAATTTTCTGAATCAGAATTATAATAGTAGCCTTAATGCATCTGGAAGGCACCCGTGCAAGTGAGGCTCTTAAATACTGAGGGTGCCAAGGACAAATATTTGTTCAAGGCCCACTTCTTAGGAAACAAATGAAAAGATTCTGCTAGGCACACTGCAAAACCTGCACAATGTCAGGCATCAATAGGAGGACTACTTGTGCAGAAGAAGGCACTTCTGAATAATGGTTGTTGTGGGGTTTTTGGGCTCTTTGGCCGTGTTCTGAAGGTTCTCTATGACCGGCATCTTCAGATGCTCTGGTGCAGTTTGTTTGGGAGTTGAGTAGTTACTTCTGAATATTCTATACCTAGGGAACCATGGGATAGCCATAAAATGCAATCATGTTGATGGCATATAATTATTGTTATTAGTCCAAATAAATAACTTTTTCAACCTCAGCTCTTAATAGACAAAGTAGGGGAGAAGTAAAGTCACTTAAGTTACACATTTTGATTTGACTTATGCCAGTAAACTTTGTGGGACCCATATGGCATCTTCCACTTAGTCCACACATTCAGGGTTGTACTTCCAAACCTAATATGTCAAAATCTAATGCCTTGCTACTGATGAAGCCCTTAAAAAAAACACTGAGCTACAGAGTCACATGTGGGGTCAACCTAAGGAACCAAGAATGAAATTGTTTCACTCTTTGGACATTCATCTGTTCCTGAAAAGGAGATCCATCAAGGCAAAGTATAGAGCCATGATGGCAAAGTATAGAATCTGTGTCTGTGGCAGACAAGAGATGACATACAAGTGTGTAGGGAACATCCGAAGAGTGTGAAGTTGGTTACATAAGTGAAGACATAAGTAACTGCCAATCTGGTGCCTTCACACAGACCAGATTCTGTACTCCTTATAGTTCTACTTCAGCATTTTATTTATCTGATTTATTATATTTCTATATTACCCCATATGGAAAGATCATCATAGCAGAGATCATAGCTTGAGCAGCTACTATATCTTCTGAAGAGCAGTTTGTGATGCTGTAAGTCTGATATAAAGAAAGGTTATTTAAGGAAAGAAAGTGGGGGGACCCTTTACCAGTTTTTGAGATTACACAACTCGCTGACTAAAGCCAACCCACAAAACCAGACCCCTGTTCTTACTGACATGATGAGAGGGACAACAACAAAAGTGGGCTGCAGAACACTGTTTACAGACTCTTTGGAATGAATGAGAAGATGGGCTGTTTAGAACAGGAGTCCCCAACCCCCGGTCCGCAGTCTTAGCAGTACTGGGCCGCAGAGACAGATCTTCCCCCTCCGCACACAGAAACCCCCACCTACACGCCCACCCACATGCACGAGTGCCCCCCCACAAGTGCCCCCCCTGCATGGACCCTGCTCCCCCACCCAGTCCACTGTTCAGAAAAGGGTGGGGACCACTGGTTTAGAGTACACAGCTGGGGAGAGGGAAAAAGCCAAACAGAAAAACATTTGTCTTACTTCATAAGCAGAACAACTTAGATCTAGAATCACAGAGGCAAGCAAGCAGGGGAATGAAAAAGTTTTAAAAACGTAAATATGATGAAGCTCATAATTTCCTAAGTTGAATGTATGCTTGGTGATTGAATCAGCTTCCCTTTTAAAAAACTTGTCACTATGAGTTTATTAAAGGTGGGATGGCATTCCCAAGAGCATATTAGATACCAAATCAGAAGAGGGGTCCAGACTGGATTTATGAGAAGAACAGCTTATTTTAATGGGTTCTTTGTCATGTTCAAATCTACTCCTCACAACATCTACTCAATCCAATCACATCTGAAGAGCCACACATTCCCCACCCCAGACCTACAATTTGTCAGGAAAAGCACTGAGCTTGAAAACTGCACACACGTATATCTAAGACTCTTCCTTTAGCAGACAAGCAAATTACCACTAAACAAAACACCTAGAGTCATTTCTATTTATACCAAACACTGGGTACACAAGCTCTTTACTCTCCCCGACAATTTCAGTTTATCAGCAAAGGAGAGATATGTCTCTCAAGAGTTTTACTGAACCTTCAGTTGAGGTTGGGGAGTGCCCAGGTTATACAAGGCGCGGCTTGCAAACAGAAAAATGTAAACAGAACGGTTACACAATCTTTTTTTCCTTGAAGAGGGCTGTCAAACACAAGGAACAAAGTCTTCAAAGGACTGCACTCAAAGGTTCATGCAACAAGGTTGGCTGTGTTCACCTTGAATGCTGCTGCTGTGTGCCAAGTGCAAGTGAGAGCAGAATCCTGTGTACAAATTTTACATACACTTAAGTTCAAGAAATCACAGTCACTATACATATGGCATATGTCTGTAACCCATGATGATAATTCCACGCACCACATAAGGAAAAAGGGCCAACAGCCACTTCTAATGATGTCCTGTATGACTACCTTTTTTTACTGATGGGGAAACAGCAGCCAAGATGCATAGAAGTTTATAATATCAAAGTTCAGACATTCATGAGAATAGGCAAAGTCATAGAATTCATGGTAGCTAGTACTGATGGTAAAATCCCTAAACAGGATAAAGGAGCAACAGAACTCAGGTTCTGCACATAGATTAGTTCAAGATTCAATCCCTGGCATTTCTGCTTAGAAGGATCTGAGATGGCAGAACACTCTGCTTGTCAACTTGCAAAACCATGGCCTAAGGCATTTCTTTTTATATAATACAAATGGAGGAGCAGGTGACTGGCTGTTAGTTGGATATCACAAACAACCCAGCTACTCGGGTGTAGTTTGAAAACCACACCTATAGTAACACCATTTGTTTAAACATTTATCCAAAATGGAAGAAATTATGAGAAGGCATGATGAAATAATGAAAAAACAAAATTAAAAGCAAACATTTTAAAATACCTTTATCAGCTAGCTTTGCATTAGTGTGCCTGTATACTAGCTGTGAGTCTTTTCACACTGTCTGGTGCTTGTAGAGGCAGTAAGCAAAGAAATACTCACCACTGCGCTCTTCAGGCCTAAGGCTCTTCTTTGCAACCTCTGCCAGTGCTCCAATGCCAAGGCCAACTGCTAAGCCTTTCGTGAACAAACAGGGGAGAAAAAAGACAGAAAAAGAATCAGAAGGAGTAGGATAAAATGCCACCTATGTATAGTTGCATCTCTGTGCACATTAATGACCTCTGCAAAGCTGCTCTTTATCCAGTACTCTTCTTACTGCCTACAGATGCACATTAAGAAACAAACTAGCAATCATCTGCTCACTTTTAATGGGATACCATGCTTACATTATGGACTGGTTCATGTCCAAAAGAAATGTATCCACCTCTTAAGAAATGGATCAAGAAATTGAGAGTCTAAGGCTGGTAATAATAACAGAGAACGCAACTTGCTTCGTCCAGAGTGCAGAATGTTCTACACTTACTCCATGACCATTTATTACTACTAGTGCACAGGGCTGGCCCTACCATTAGACAGGGTGAGGCAACTGCCTCGGTGGCAGATACTGAATGCATCAGAGACAATCCTCCACAATCATTGCCCCAAGTTATTCCAATCTATTGGACAAGACTGCTGTGTGTGAAAAACATCCTGTCTTGAATACCCTAAACTAGACTGCTGTTTTCAAATATGGAAGAATACATAATACCACTCAAGCCTCATAAACACACACTAGGTTATGGCAGACCGAGCCTCCCCAAAATGATCTGGCAAACTCAAACCAAGAGTCCTAAGTAACTGAACCTACTTCAGAATAATCAATCAAAAATCTACTAAATTCTTGTCCTTTTTTATTTTTAGCAGTGTCATCAGATCTTGACTGAGTCTTAACCATCAACTTGGAAGTCTTCCGTGGCTCCCTGGGCTTGTTCGGTACTGATGTCGTACTTGTCAATGAGTGAATAGCTGAGCTAGCAACTATGTTAGACAAATCTTGCCTATTTGGTTGATTTGTCGTAAGAGAAGTCCCCACTTCCATGATTGTTTTTAACATTTGTTCATACAAATGTGATCTGAGGTGTTGGTCTCAGCTTGATTGCAGCTTTAGAGAGGTTCTTACAGGCGGGGCATGATTGTGTCTGGTGGGCTTCGCCCAGGCAGAATAAACGTCTGTCGTGCCCGTCGGTGAGAGGTATTTTCTTAAAGCAAATAGCACACCTCTTAAATTCCCGAGGGGCCATAAAACAGGGGAGAATCAGGGGGGAAAGTCCAAGGGGAAGGGGGGGTTAAAAAAGGCAGGAAAGTGAAAAAAGTTGTAAATGGGCATTTTAAAATCTCAATCAGTAAGGGAAATAACTAAAAAGAATCTAGTGATCCAATTACTGAAAAGAAATATTTGGTGAAAAAATACAGGTTTACTTTCCTTTCACTGAAGCTCTAATGTTCCTAACGTCTTAACTGAGTGGTGGGAAAAACGGAACTGAGAGGAAGGTTGAGGAGGCGGAACTTGCATCTTGGGGGGGTATCTCATTCTCATTTTTTTTAAAGCTCTAGAAACTTCCGAAACGTCCTGCGCAGGCACAGAGGAAACCCATTTGTGTGCATTCACAGAGGCCACTATGAAGAAGCCCAGGTTCTGGGCTACCACTCTAGCTGTGTACTGAAATATAACATGAGTTTGTACTGTCAAATCCCTACTAAACCTGTGCCAAAGATCTGTACTAACTGCAAGATATGCACAAACCCAACAACATCTTCCCAAGCATGAAAGTACAGTGGGGTCTCTACTTAAGAACTTAATCCGTATTGGAAGGTGGTTCTCAAGTTGAAAAGTTCTTATGTTGAATCTGTATTTCCCATAGGAATGCATTGAAAACCATTTAATCCGTATCTGCTCTTTTCCGTCCATAGAAACTACAGTAACACATTAACAGCAGGATGGGAGATCTTCAAAACCATCTGCAATCTCTTCTAGCTGATCCACTACAACATTTAGCTTACAAAATTTGCAAAGACAGTATTTGTGGCCCCAGTCAACAGCAGACTGCCACAGAATTCTGACATGAAGGAAAGTGTTGTGGATCTGTTGTGAACACACAAGAACACTCTATAGTTTTTGTTTCAATACAGTTCTCCTGGAGAAGAGTGTGTACATCGTTGACCTTACATACATCTTTTTATCTATGTAACAGGATCTCAGACAATTTCCCTTTGTTTAATATATCCAATTTTACACTTTAACCAATCTCGCAGTATTTCATGTATTATTCTGTCAATTGCTGTTACTCTTTAGTTGTTTCTGTTGGCAAATTTTAACACCAAATATTCATTTGTGTGTATAACTGGTAATCATTTTAACAATATTGAAGTATGACACATTGTTATATAAAATTAAATTAATTAAATTTATATAAAAATAAGTTAAAAGCAAATAAGTAGGTGAAAAAACAGACCACACAACATTCCATTATGACCTTCCTGCCCGTGTTGAACCATTCTCCCGTTAAAAGAGGTCCAGCATTCCTACTTCAAATATACCCTTTCATCCCAAACCACTGTAGCTAACTATGTTCTACAATAAGCAGCAGTGAAGTTTTTACCTCTCACGTACTCCTGTACCATAGTTCAGCTCAGTCTAGGTAGCCAGCAACAGAGAGGTACAGGTGTTGTATTTCAATTTGGCAGACCCTAGTGTCTCTCTAGAGATGACACAAATTCCACATCTAGAAACAGTGCATCATTAAGAGAAAAGTTCATTCTAACTTAACTTTACTTCAATCTGTATTTAACAGATTCACTTGTTTTCATTTTATAATTAGTCAGCTGTGGACAGCACATTGCTAGAGGGAAAATGCTTCACAAGAATATATGCTTTTGCCTAGATGGGTGATCTGACTCATGGTTTTCACATGTGGAAAATACTGGCACAGAGGTTATTTCTTAAACCTCCCACCCCATCCCAGATTTCATTCCTTTCTAGCACGATATCAGGCTTTCTAACAAACTCTTCAAAGCACAAGCACAGCATCACAGTGGAAGAACTGATGTGCATATACAAATCTACATATACAGTAGTTTTTGAAGGAGGACATGTTATAGCTCTATGGAGTTGCTGGGAACAACAAAATAACAGGAATGACACTGGGCCACAAAGCCCCACAAAATACAGGCTAAAATCAACAATAGGACACACTGTGGCAGTGATGATGTCAACTTTGAATTTGACACTACCACTATATTTATTCATTATTGTTCAATTCCAGGTGACTTTCACTGGTTTCCTGTTGACTGCCTGGCTCAACTCAAAGTGCCTGTACCAGCCTTTTGAGGCCCTCAGTGGCTTTGGACCAAGTTACCTTAGGAACCACTTGCTCACACATAAGCGCTCTTAGGAACTGCTTATGGTGTCACTTCAGGATAATCAGTGAAAGAGCAGGAGAGATAGAGATCATTCTTTGTGGCACTGATGCAATTCTGGAATGCCCTTCCTGCTAAAACGCATCAGGCTCCCTTTGTGTGTGTCTTTTCCCAGAAATTAAAAGCCTGTTGGATCAAAAGCACGGTGGATTAGAACTGATGATTTAAAAATAAAATTTATTTTTTTACTTAAATCATTTTTTTATTTAACTCAAATATGTTTTAATGAAATGTTGCAGTTTTTCACAGTAAAAATGGTACAAAATGAACAACATTCAAGAAAAGACCCTAATCCCATAGCTGTTCCACAAATCCATATAGAAACAATGAACACATTACGTTAAATTGTTAGGTTTGAAAATTGTTTGGAGTGAAATACATCTGTAAGGTGAAAGTAAAGGTTCCCCTTGACATTTAGTCCAGTCATGTCCAACTCTAGGGGGCAGTCCTCATTCCTGATTCCAAGCCATAGAGTCAGCGTTTGTCCATAGACAGTTTCCGTGGTCACGTGGCCAGCGCGACTAGACACAGAACGCCATTACCTTCCCACCATGGTGGTGCCCATTCATCTACTCGCATTTTACATGCTTTCGAACTGCTAGGTTTGCAGGAGCTGGGACAAGTGACAGGAGCTCACTCCGTCACATGGATTTGATCTTCCGACCTTGCAGCACAGAGGCTTCTGCGGTTTAACCCACAGCACCACGCCATCCCTTGAAATACAGTGGTGCCTCGCTTAACGAGCGCACCGTATAACGACGAAATCGCATAGCGATCCGTTTTTTCGGATCGCTAATGCGATCGCTCAATGTTTTTCTAATAGGGCAAAATTCGCTTTGCGAAGACTGATAAGCGTTTCGCTTACCGATCTTCGCAAAACGAAGCCCAACTATCAGCTGTTCGGCGGCCAAAATGGCCGCCGGAAGCCCGGAAATGGCCCAAAATGGCCGTGCGCAGCGTTTTCGCAACCTCGTTAAGCGAGGCACCACTGTACATCTGTACCAGCCTCTAAAGTGTGTGAAAGGAGGGGCAACCAGTAAAAATGAAAGTGAAATCTTCTGAGCAAATTCCAACTCTTCGGATCTTTGTCCAGATAGCTTTAAGTTTTTTGAAGTTTTTTGTTTTTTAAAAAGATATTTTGTTTAAACACTTTAGTTAATAAACACTGATGTTTAAGAAAATACAAGAATATGTATGCTACATCATTTTACATTTAAAAATCATTATTTAAATTGATCCTTACTGACTAGATATTTAAATCATGATTTATTTAAATCATGATTTAAATTGTGATTTAAATCAACTTGGCTAAAATCAAATCCACCCTGATCAAAAGTATCTTCAGTGTACAATGGCTAGTTATTGCTGCTAATTTTAATACATAGAATTGTTCTGTTGTTATTCTTAATCCTGCATTTTGCTTGTTTTAATTGATAATTGCATGCGGTTATTGGCCCTAGAAATTCTTCAATGTATTTGCATTGCTGGTCACACTGAAAACTAACTTAAAGGTTGCCATCCCTGAAAGAGGTGAGGGGGATGGCAAGTCGAAATAGGGCCTTCTCGGCTGTTGCCCCCAACTTTGGAACGCCCTCCATATAGAGATCCGCCTGGCTGCAACACTTTCGGCATTTTGGTGCCAGGCAAAAACCTTCTGTTTAGCTAGCATTTTAATTAAATAGTATTCTTTAACTAGCCAGGTCGAAATAGGGCATTCTCGG